TCAATGGTTTGGGTGTAACTTGTGGTTATCTATGAGTGTATCCGTGGCACCCGCGATACACTAGTGCGGCTATGAGTGTGAGCCAAAAAATATGGAACACGAAGCCTGCATCTGTGGTAGATGCACATCTTGACGTTTAGCCATGTTTTAGGCAAACTCGTCATCATCGACCCTTCTTTCAGACCCGTCTAGACTTAATAATGATTATTATCAAGTGTTACCCAGGCAACATTGTACTAAATGTTGTCCAGTAAAGAAGATATACCGCACTTCATAAAATTTTGTACGGATATAGCAAAAAATGTAAAAAATAGAAATAAGACAAACTAGTGTTAAGAAAGATAAATGTATCAGTATATTGTTTTATACTTCCTTACATTTAGGAATTAAATAGATTGTATTAAACGAAAAGTCTAATAAACATATCAATCAAAAAATCAAATGTAGTTAATAGGATAGAAATAAATATACTAAGCATACCTAAATATAAAAAAAGGAAAAAAAATGCAATGTACAACAACGTAGCTATAAATAATATTAGTATGTTACAACAAATTTAGAAAATTAATAAATGCTAAAAACAACTATAACATAAATAGAATAGCAATGTGAGTCAATTTGTAATGTAATAACTATCCCAACGGTTATCACTATACAATATGTATATTGATAAAGAAATTTATACATTATATGTTTAAAATAAATAAATAAAAAACTGAAAAGACAAGCATAAAAACAATATACGCAACAAAAAGTCTCCGATCCCAACGTCGTGGGAAACGCTGACGAACAAACAAAAAAAATGTGTTATCAAAGGGCTAACCCAACATATCGATGCCTTACTTTCTCAAACTCGTATCTTGTAAAGAGTTTATTCAGGAGATGGCAAAACTTTCTATTTATTTTAAATTTCTTATCAAGGGTGATAATTTGGATGCATTGCTTTAAGAATAGGTAAAAGCCAGTGTGTAAATATGAAGGAAATATGATGTGCAATCAGCCTGCAAAATTTGTATATACAATCCATTTTTTGCATTTCAGTAACTTTGTGCTTTAAGATACGAGTTTGAGAAAGTAGGGCGACGATATTGTAAAAAAACTTTTGGAACGATATTTTAGTTCCTCATGTTGATTGCAAAGAAAGGCTTATTTACGTCGCCATATGTTTTGTTGTCAGAAAAATTATTAAGCGCTGTTTCTACAATAATTTTTATACGTATTTACTATAATGTATATACTTAGACCTACTAACGATTACAGATCCCATTTTATTTTTAAAATACACAAAGAATACGGCATCGTAAGTGTAAAACTTTAAGGTTTATTATACTTACATCGTGTAGAGGTAGAGCAAAACCGAGTAATATACTAGGAGAAGACACAAAATGTATACTTGATCCATTGACTTTTTGTAACCCAATGACTTGATCATACAAAATACACGAAAACACGACCGAAACAATTCACCTTAAAGTCATAATATGTAACTACTATTGACTTTATCTAAGTTCATAATGCATGTATGTATTGAATTAGAAATATACTGTAAATATTGTATAGAAAATATTATGTACGATATTAGAGGTCAAGCTAAAAGTATCGGAGTAGACGAACGCGTTGAAACAATGGATTCAAATATAAAATAAGTATATCAGTTTTTGCAAGTGACTCGGAAACGTCAGTGGGAGACAGGCGTGATGATAAAGTTTTTTTTCGTCTGTCAACCATACTATGATAACGTAACGCTATGGCATGACCTGGGGTCATGACTCCTGAGTCTAGCGGCAAAGCACTGTGATGTGAACATCGTTTATCTCGAAAATTATCTCCGAGATAAAGATGCTTATACCTTAATCCTACAGAATAGTACCCCTCGTTAATACAAATAAGTCACAAGTTTAAATATTGCCTAGCAAATAAAATATTGCTTTTAAAATAAATAAAAACTACACATAAAGACAAAAATATTACTAAATAATTTCCCATCGGAATACAAACCGCACGCTCAAAACGAATATCTCGATTTTTCTACTTTTTTCATAACTTTTAAACGCCATTTTCGGAAAATCTACTTTTTCTTTCAAGTATTAAAGTTTGGAAAATTCAAATTTAATTATTGACCCTAACCATAGCGTTGTATAGTTATTAATTGTATTAAAATACAACTAAAAGTCAATTTCTGAACTGCCTATTGTCAATAAATGGAATATTTACTAGTTTTAAACCTAAAAGCTAAATGCCGCAGTAGGCAAATTACGAAATTTTTGCGCGCCTAACTTGTGACGACATGAAGTGAGTAATAACTATAATTCATAGCACACGTAAGTGCGACCTGTAAGTATATTTAGGGAAACAGATAAAGATAATTTTAAATCACACTTACACCTGAATCACTGTATAAACGAAATGCAAGTGATTCATGCTCGAAAGCATGGGGAAAGGTATGACAGAAAAGTGGCGACAATAAGTTTCGCGCTGCGATCCTGCATCGACTAGGGACATTACGATTAAATTTTCATGAAGATCGATTCACATGTATGCGATCTAGCGATTTTTTGTATTGATTCATCGATGTGTTTTTTAAGCAAATCGATACAACATTAAGGCTCATCGAATCGTCTAAATCTTATTCACGATTTAAACATAACAGTGGTTCTGAACCTCGATTGAGTTGTAAGGTTAATCCTGTTTTATATTATTCTGTAAGAAACGTAGTTAGGCAACATTTAAGGTTATATAATGAGTCTACCACATTTGGCGATTATCGCTACTTCTGTGCCATCTGAACGTCTTTTCTCATTGATTAATAATAGGGGTTAAAGTATGAAATTGCCGATTTGTACTGAAAATCTAAATTGTTTATTTTTTTAATTTTTAACAAATTTATTTAATCAAAATAGTTGCCATTATTATCTATACATTGCTGCCATCTAATGGGAAGGTTATTAATGCCTTTGCGATAGAACTCCGACGATCTAGACTGCACAAACTGTGTGAAAGCATTTTGTACTGCCTCCTGGGAAGAAAACTTCTTGTCACGTAGATAATTGTCCAAATCACGAAAAAAATGGTAGTCCGTTGGAGCAAGGTCTGGTGAATACGGAGGATGACGAATGGTTTCTAACTGCAGTTCCTGAAGGGTCAAAATGGTTTCTCGTGCTGTGTGAGGTCTCGCGTTGTCGTGGAGCAATAATGGTGAAGATCGATTCATGAGTCGGGGCTGTTTTACTGCTAGTTTTGTCAACATGGTTCGGAGTTCGGCACAATAGACATCTGCCGTTATGGCTTGACCAGATCGGAGAAAACTATAGTGAATAACACCATGCTGAGACCACCAAACAGTTACCATTACCTTTTTATTGGTAAGTTTTGCTTTAGGACACTGTTGTGGCATTTGATCTGGGGTCAGCCATTGCATTTTTCTTTTCCGGTTATCATAAAGAATCCACTTTTCATCACATGTTACAATTCGATCCAATATTCCTTCATTTCTGTACCGGTTCAACAAGGCAACACAAGTTTCAACACGCGTTTCTTTCTGCAGATCAGTCAAATCATGAGGCACCCATTTTTCGTATTTTTTTATTTTATTGATTTGACGCAAGTGAGTCAATATTGTGGGTAAGGTAACGTTAAACCATGCCGCTAATTCCTGGGTAGTTTGACTAGGATCGGCTTCCACTATCTCTCATTAATTCATCGTTATTCACCTGTGTGGGCGGTCTTCCTCGTGACTCGTTCTTCTCGAAATTTCCATCACGAAAGCGTTTAAACCAAAATCGCACGGTGCGTTCATTAGTAGACCCCTCTCCAAACGCAGCATTGATATTGCGGGCTGTTTCTGCCGCGTTAGTTCCGCGTCGGAACTCGTATTCAAAAATCACTCGAATTTTCGCAGTATCCATCTTTCTTGTCTAAATTGAATAACAAAAACAATTGAAAGTCGATATTCAAATGTTTCAAATTTAAAAAAAAAAATCACAGAAACCATTTGAAAAAAGTTTCATTCGAAAACCTCAAACCATGAAGATTCTATGAAAATTCAAAGAACCTATTGCAATAAAACGGCAATTTCATACTTTAACCCCTAATATCTCTCTAAATGAAAGTCCTAACCAACTGAAGCCGAACAGGAAATATAATTTTTTTATTAAAATTAATTTTCAAACTATTTTTATGAGATTGTTTCAAGATCAGATGATCCAATTTGTGGATCGATTCAGAGGTACGTGATCCATTACGATCCAAAAGTTCGATTCAAAACTCGTACATCCCTATCAGCGACGACCACGACTTTGCCAAAAGATTCAAGGTCATCTTCCAGAACTCTACTCAATGCTCAAGTCAGGACTTGAGTATGATTTCAAGCACTGGAAATACGATACTAATGGCAAGGACTTGAGTATGATTTCTAGTGCTATAAATCATACTCAAATCCTGACTTGAACATTGAGTAGAGTTCTGGCATACGACCCTAAGACTAAGAAACGACTAAACGCGATAACTTTATGTCGCTCTTACATTAACTGTTTTACTAGAGATACTGTAAGTACGTGCTTTAGGTTAACCGAGCAATTATTCTCTTGCTAAGAATTTGCTTATTATGATGTTCACTATCTTGATTTATCTATGTACAGTTATGTATCTGATATAAAGAAACAACACTGAATGGAGTTACCACATCAAATATCTGTGGTGTGCGTGAAGAATATGACATGTACTGTTAATTTTGACTTTATGAGTTTTTTGTACGTTTCGTAAAAAGTAAATATGACACGCCAGAATAGATATATAAAATTATATTATTTACTACGTAGAATTGATAAAACCAGTATTATAAAGCGCGTTAAAACAGGAGCAACGGAACTAGAACACATTTCAACCAGGTTGAGAGAATTAACACACTTGAAAGTATAAGTGCAATCTTTGCGTTTTTTAAATTATACAAGCGAAATACCTTTTTCTACAAAAATACATAATTGTATTAGGATTTATTGAAAAGAAGAGAGTCTATGTTCGCATCCCATCGTTAGACGTGTCGCATGATCAGCGGATTACCCCTCCTATAAAGGTGAGGTTACAACATACTCTAAAATAGAACTTATTTTATAAGCCATAGACCATCTATTTCTCAGTTAAGTTTTAAATAAGCAGAAAACAGAGCATACACCTAGGTTTGAAGGTCGGACGGCCATAGTGGCGCGCACTCTCGAGCCTCTCGAGCTCGACTCGACCGACTCACATCAGTCTCTCGCGAGAGAACCGATACTACTCGACGTACATTATGTTGTTCCCGCACGCGAGAACAATAATTAAGCCACAGTAAATAAACTGATAAAAAGTTACTGTTACAGTGTGTACTGTAACCGTAAACAAGAGTTTCAAGTTTAATTAATCTACGCCAAAATATCGAAGCTCGTGACGATTCCCATTTCATATTAAAGTACTAGTGTTTCCAACAAAACCCCTTCGTATTTAAGGTACGTGTTTAAACGATTGACTATTTACTTTACAATTATAAACAAAGTAAATGATAACAATGAGTTGACGTGAGTTCATATGAAAGGAGTTTCGTCTTGAAATCATGTACAGAGAACGTGTATATTGCAGGTACTTTCTTGCAAGAATGAAAGCGTTATATAAAATCGAACTAACCATTGCATAGGATACAACGTTAGGTATTGTATGTTATGTATTAGCAGTTCTCTTTGTTTACTTCCATCTGAAGGTTATATCTATGCATTCGTACAAATTGTGTAAATATTTAAATCATTCGAACGCCACGTGTTTCCGCGCCGGCGAAGAAAAAATATAAACATAAGTCTATTAACAAGACTACTAGTCTTATAATTACATTTTTTCATTGTGTCGACGTTATGGCGTATTAAAAATATTTAAATAATTGGTCTATTATATATATGCTTTATTAAATGCCAAGTGGCATTAACAGTCCGGTGTCTCCTAACTTGTTGTTATACAAACAAAACCGGGTACGAGGGACCACGACGCTTTTGAGAACTCTCAATCAGTGTAAACAGAAACTGAGATGTGAAAGACTAAACAAAGAGGTACCTTTGAAGTATTTGAGCCGTCATGCGGTTTTATAGTAGTATATACTCTTGACTTGCCTCACTCAAAACAAACAATAACTCTTTAGTTTGTGACTATGAAAGGATTTGACAAAACTACCAGTGGATACCTGCTTAAAACGTTTGTTAAAATAATCTAGCAATATACACAAGCTTATTGCTACCGACTCCACAAAGTAACAAAGTTAAATTGGATTCATACTGAAATCTCAACTGACTGATTCACGACACAACTTTAAATTATGTTGCCGGGAAGTTGCCACTTAAGGGTTAATTTGATAAACAGGTTTAGTGAAGTGACAAATGCAACACGAAGCACAACTGCTGCAGTTTGATGAAGATGAACGTAGCAAAGATAAACAGGGCTGTCCTGAAAACTCATGTCTGGTAGCAGTCAGCATAGTGTGAAATTTGCAATTGCATAATGCCACTGTCTTGTCGACTTCAGTGGTCTAGTAGCTTGCACACCGATTTTCATGGCGTCGCCGTCTCTGAGGTCCCGGGTTTGATCCCCGGTCGGGTAAATGTAGAAACTAATTTTTCTATATTGTCTCTGGTTCTGGCTGTGGTTGTTTGTAGTGTATTCGTTGTTTCCGATTTCCATGACACAAGTGCTTTAGTTATTAACTAAAGTAGTTAGTAAAGTAAAGTTATTAAGTAAAGTACTTTGGACCATCTTTGGCGTCAGAGCAACGTATGTGATGTTATCTAATATTTATTAACATTATTTATTAAATTGCCACGCAGAGGTCCCAGGTTCGATTTACTTATCTCGTAAGTTTGGGTATAATTTGTGGTTGTCTATGTGTGTGTCCATGGCACCCGGGACACACGGTTTCCCTAATTCGAAGCTATGTTGAGTGTGTGCGTCAGTTAAAAAACAAATATTTTTTATTTGCTTTGATTTGTTATTTGCACAGAAAGTCCTTTGTGTTTCATTACTTAAAAATAATATCATCAACAGAAATATCATGATATTCTGCTGCAGAACACAGGGTTTAACTAAGCGCGATTGGTTCACATTAATTGAACGTTTTATTATCATATACATGAGAAAATTGTATTTGACTGCATCAAACTAATTGAATTATAATTAAAATCGCACAGCGCTAAACGAAAAATATGGAGCTGTAAATTAACTGTACCATGTAGCAATCGCGAAAATCTAAGAACTCAATATGTACCTCTAGTAGCGAGTCACAACAACAATAATCACTGAAGTATTAACGATCTTACACACCTCTGCGTAGCAAGAACTTTCAATAGCATAAACTGACCTATTTCAGAAACATAATTCTAAGGTACGTAAGATTTTTATAGTACGTACGTATCATGTATTATATACGTATATATAGTCGTTGAGATAATTCAATATAATTATTAAATTAAATTTAATAATAGTAATTGCATCACAAAAATGTTTTTATCAAAGTGCAAAAAATAGTTTAAGGTCATCTAACTAAGCGGCTCGGCCATTGTTCCTTCCTAAATACCATTTTATAGGTCCTCCGTGAGAATATAGTCACTTTCGTCAAATTCATGTATCCGGTTGTAATCTAATTCTCGTCAACAAAATACTAAAACAATAACCTGTATATGTTACCTTAGCATTTCACGGATCTCTCGGAAGGAAGAGAGCCTAGGTCTACCAAGTAGGTCAATATTGGAAGAACGTAGTAGTACATACATAATTACTTTAACGTGAACTGTTATGGAAGAGCGGGGTTTCCTGGCACAGGCATTTTATGGTTAAAAGAAGACTCCTGCCACTGGAAACTAAACTTTTCAGGGCCGTGGTGGTTAAAATAACCTCAGTACAACGAATAACCTCAGTACTAAAAAAACCGACCTCGAAAGTCATTTATTCTCTAGTTTGCCACCATTAGAGGTGGACTATTTTTTTGAAATTTAAACGGGACCACTACTGAGGTACCCTCTTTCCAACAAAAAAGAACCATCAAAATCGGTTCACAAAGCCGGAGTTATCGTGTAACATACACAAAAACAACATAGTCGATTTGAGAACCTCCTTTTTATAAGTCGGTTAAGAATAAAGGATTATTATAACTATTATAACTGTAAGAGCTCGTTCACATCACATTTCCAATTATAGGTATATCGTGTTGGTTTACAATACTACGATACGATGAATTACATACGATGCCAACATAATTACTGGCATGACTGTTGAATTTGTCATTAGTTCATTAGATTAGTCCAATTAGGTCATTTGGATTCGGGCTTGTTAACCTTACAATTGTAGAGGCTTCATAACATTACCAGCACTCCCTTTAACTCTTTAGCTGGTTAGTTATATTTAACAAAATATAAAAATAAGTATTATAACTATAACGACTGAGTTTAACTGTCTAGAATATAACAAGATAATATTTCTACTAGTTATCCTGTCTTTATTTCTATTGTAACGAGGAAACAGAATGCTTTTATTTCTATAATTTGATTACGGTAGTGGGATGAAGAGATAGTTCGCAATTTAAAGCTGTTTATCACATTCGTAAAACTCTCATAAAAAAAAACTGACGTAAAAATACACGTTTGCATTGGACAAATTAGCAAATTTATTGAGAAAGGTCTAAATAATACCTGGGACCGGTCTTGCCAAACTTTGCCGTTACAGCTAAATAGAGCATATATGTATAAACGAGATAACAACCAACGAAATTGTGTTGTATAAGTCGTGCAAGGCGGTTTTTGTGTTTAACTTTATTTAGTTAATCATTACCTTTCTTTTAAACCGGCTTCAAAAAAAGGAGGAGGTTCTCAATTCGACGGTATGTTTTCTTTTTTTTATGTGTTATGCGATACTCGTGACCAGATTTTGATGAATCTTTTTTTATTGGAAAGAGGGTACCTCAGTAGTGGTCCCATTTAAATTTCAAGACAATATTCCACCACTAAGGTATGCAAACTGAATGAATGACTATTGAGGTCGGTTTTTTTGAGTACTCTGTACTGAGATTATAATGAAATGACTTTCGTTTTGATGTTCTGATTGTTTTAGATTTTTTACTATATAGGGAGTTTATTTCAAAATGGAACGAAAACATAAACAAAAAACATGTTGTATTGTTCACTAAACATTGGACCAGCACGCGAAGTGCTGTCATAAAACTCTCATTAAAGAGACTGTGCACTATATAGTACACTGACCCACTGCTGTGGCCTACCCTTACAGAAATGAAAATGCAGAATGGTAAAAGAGGAAAGGGAAGGAAAATCTCATTGTGAAAGAGTTCATCCAGGGAAGTACTACCACTTGACCTATTTCTGCCGCCAAACAAGTAATATGAGGCGTTCCGGTTTTGAAGGGTAAGGGTACTGGTGAAGTTACAAACACATCGGACTTTTCAACTTATGTCCCAGGGTGATGGGCGCAGAGGCAGTGCACTTCATATCTTTAAAGCTCTGAGTGGCACTCCAACTGCAATGGACAGCCGTGTCGTTTATCAGGCACGAGTTGTCCGTCCCTTCACTTAGTGATACTTATATTATTCAAAAAAATATATATAATTTTAATAGTAATCGATGTGAAGTTTAACTATAAGGAAATGAAGTAATTTGTGATTTATGGGCACGTCCTCTCGTTTCTAGAATTTTGATGCGAGTGACGACGGATCAAACTAGCATAAGAATAGCGAAGAAAATAATAATTCGAAAATGAATCCAAATTTTAAAATTAAGTCGCTAGGAACCTGAAAAGAGGATGATAAAAAGGTAGGATAACGATAAAACAGGTCAGCATCGCCACGCTGCTTTCAAAAAAGAAGTCTATAGTTCTTCTATTTTTCACTGCTGTATAGGTAGTTCCGAGCCCCATTTAAGTCAACAAACTCTTTGATAATTCGTTCACTTGGTTAAAAATAAAGGAGGAGAGAGGAATATTATGAGACGCGGATTTCAAATATTATAACATTTCCGATAATTACGTTATTACCTGTTGGTTCGTGACTACAGCAGGACGTTCCGCGTTAGTTTATTCTCATTTTCAATAGCCTGTGGCCAACGTGAACCAGCGGCAATATTACAAAATGTTTACGATCGAGATACACTTTGATTTTCAATATAGGCGAGGTAAATACGCCGGATACTTAAAGAGCGAAGGCTAAATAAAACGTTGAAGTGTACTAATGCATATTCACTACCTTATACTATAATATCTAAAATAAATCTTATGTCACCTGTTGAGTGACGTAATCATTACCTAAACAAAATGACACAAACATGGAAACTTGAGAGCACAAATAAATTAGCTATTTCATCGATTAGTCGCGAACTATTAGTTCGAATTTCAAATACTAGTGGAAAAAAATAATAATTTATCATTAGTTCCAAGTTTGCTAGGAAAATTACGCATTTTTTTCTAATACTTATTCGTTAAGAAAGTTATGTACTTCCTGTTTTATTTTATATTTATCAAAAAATTAAAACGGGAATGTGATATGTATTTTCATATGAGTAAATTGAAATGTTACACTATTGTACGAGGCGATCCTGAAAAATAGCTGTATGTACGAAGTAAATTAAAAAAATATAGCTACTATGCATGAACCTATACATTTTTATGGAAACTTTCTATAGATACAAAGGTGTTTTGCGACTGGTCTTTTCTATATTGCTTATTCTGCAGAAGAACAAAATTAGAAATTATACGAGTACCTAATTCAAACATGCAATATGCTATTTGAAACGATACATAGAACGTCGCTTCATTCAGGGCCAGACAAAAATAAATCAAGCGAATTCCGAGACAGAAGCGATCGTCAGAAACATTCCAGTAAAATTCATCGCATCTTTTTATGCGAAAATAGCTTCAGGCACGTAATTAGTTATTATAAATAGCTAGTATGCATTAAAGGACATACTACTGATCTGACTCTATAGATGCGTTTTTCTTTAATCTCGATATTTGAAGTCGAAAAATAATAATAAATACCGCACACACTCAACATAGCCCCGCACTAGGGAAACCCTGAGTCGCGAGTGCTATGAACTCACACATAGACAACCACAAATTACACCCAAATTCACGAGATTAATAAATGTAGGCCATACAAATATTTCTCCCGGCCCGGGAATCGAACCTGGGACCTATGCGTGGCAGTCCGGCTTGGTAACCGTTCGGCCACAGAGGCAGTTATATTATAATATAACTGCTGCTGCTTAGCTGCATATTATCGATATGTTTCATATCGATAATATATACTAATATTATCGATATGAAAAATAGAACATGACAGCAACAGCACAGGCGTGTGTGTGATCGTACGTGCGCTATCTCCCCTGATAGCCTTGCTAAAATAAAATCACATAATTCTCCGTTGCTGGGTTAGCTCGATTCGTAAAAGCTATTTACTACGAACACCTACTTACACCTATCTGATAAGGCGACACTGATAAAGGGAGATATGAAGCTGACTCAGTTTATATCAGTCGACTCGTCAATAAGCACGGCAAAACATTGTTTCTTGTATTTTTTTGTTTTCTTAGTGCGTTACCATTATTGTTTTAAAAAAGGTGATAGAACTAATGCGCCTTTGGTAAGCGACGAATGTGATATTAATAGTGATCACGTGCATGGAATAAAACATATACTTAAACGTTTCAGGGCAGTGGTGGTTAAATGTAATGGTGACGTGATGCTCCCAACATGCGTTGGTCGGCGTGGTGGCAGATTCTGCTCGTATGGCGTGCGCACGCGCTCGCGCAATCCAACACACCCACCATGTGTCAAGAGGAATCATGTCGGTGTGACTCCTTCACAAGGGTCATATGCAACTGCACCAATGACTACAATGTGCGTAACGTTAACACATATACCTATGTACTCATTAATAATGTCGTAACATTAATAATTACCATTCCATACTAAGTATAAAATTATTTCCAGGAGATGACCCTTCGTCCAGATGGGGCGTATCGAATCCCACCAATGGCTACCGCCATCATTATCAATAGCTGTTCAAGAGTCATATTTTTATCAGATACCATAAAAAATCTTATTCAACTACGAGTAGTGGAACTGCAAAATGTGCCTTATGTAATTATAAACGAGCGATCCTTGGAGTGGTCTCCTTCCAATGTAGATCTAGAAAACAGTCCTGGAATAAGAATCACCATTCACAACAGCACCGTGAACGAAATGGCGTCGCATGCTATCCGTGGAAGAGTGGATAATATACATATCAGTAACAGTAGGTTGAATATTATCAAGCCTTTCGCATTTTCAAGCCTTACCGGTGTTTCAAACGTCGAACTATCAGACAATGATTTCATAAACATAAATATCCAAGCATTTAAAAAATTTACAACAACAAATTTTATTCTTCGAGGGGGATCAATAAAATCCTTGCCTAGTAGATTTTTATCAGATGTGGAAGTAACCAATCGCTTGCAAATAGAAGGAGTCTCTGTGCAACATGTATCGAGTTTAGCATTTCTTGTTAGCATGCCACAAAGAGTTTTAATTGACAGTAATGTAATAGGGATACTGGAAAGTGATGCGTTTAATATCACGACAACAGGGCCAATCACCTTTAGAAATAATACAATAACGACTGTGAGGCGTGGGGCGTTCTTCGGAATCTCAGCACTGCCAAAGGTGACAACAATTAAAGGGCCACAGGAACTACTGATAGACAACAATACAATGCAAGAAGTGACACCAGATTCTTTAATGTACAATCGTAATTCGCTAACACTTCGCGTTGATGGACTAAATCTTAACGTTTCATGTAGTTGTGATCTGGCATCACAGTGGCACGATATGTTGAGAGAAAACGGCAATATCAATTGCTGGTACTCCTTGGAGGGGTATTTTATATCCCTGCCCACTTACGTTGACAGCAGATGTGGAGTATTCAAACAGACTTTTTGGATTGTTGTTGTTGTAAGCATTTTAGTACTGTTTTTTATAATAGCTATTGTGATATTCTTTATCGTGAGAAGAGAAAATGAAAAAAGGAAGAAAGTTCAAATAGTATTGCCAGATAGTAAGACGTACAGAGAGACGGAATTCCACATAGTGGTGGAAAGAGCCGATCTTCTCACAACGGACATGTAACTGTACGCGTTTATAGGCTAATTGTTGTCTGTAAATGCGAGTTCGCCTGGGCCGCGCCACTAACCAGTGATAAAGTAAGCATTTCTAACTCGACAAAACAATCTGCTCGGACCATTCCCCGAATGACTGTCAATTGATACGAGTAGGTACTTGTGGACGAGTTCTCTACCTCAACGCTTGAGTGAAAATTGTGCCAAGTTTAGTGTTTACTTTGTTTCTAGGAAAAAAAAAACATTATCTACAAAATATATTATTTATTTTTGTAATTCGTATTATGAAATAAATTAAAAGCACTTTGTGCAAACACATCGTATTTTTAATTAATATTTTGGGTATGTCAAATAACTGACCGTGTGTTATATATAGGTATTATTGGACATCTAAGAACCGATAAGCAGAACACTAAATCAAATAAGATTTGTGGTTAATATATTTATTAAAGTTCAACTATTACAACTAATACCTATCAATTTACAGTTCATTTAAATGAAAACAGTGCAACGTGCTTGGTTCTGCGAAATGACCTCATTATAGTTTGCCTACGACGAATAATAAAATTTTTGTAAAACAAACTGATTAAATTACAAATGTATAGATGACCTCTAATATTATAAGTTTATAGTTTACTTATTTAACATAATATTATAAGTTGCGAAGCGAATTCGTTTTGTTGTGTATAAAAATGAATGTAAGTACATTTCCAGTATGCATTGCATTATTACTCTTAAAACACTTGAAACATTTCGTGAGTTGTTGCGTCCACGCAAGTAATAATTTTTGATGTATTAAACCCCATTGCTGTGCACGGATCTCCTCTAAGGAGAGGATTAGGGTCATAGTCCAGCACGGATTTCACACGTTTTCAATGGCAATGCAACGCTTGCACAGATGGGCACAGCTAGTGTCACGAATTAAATCGCAATTTAATTTTATAATATCAACATTAACAAATTTAGTCTGTTATGGTATTTAAGAGTAGAGAACCCGCGAGTTCAAGCGTCATAAATTCTGCAGGTGAAATATCAGGAGTATGCTGGGAATTCACTGGTTGGTTGACACTAAAGCTGGTAACTTTGCACAACGTTTATTTCTAACTTCGATACAGTGTTTGTCGTCATGATAAATCATGAAGCAGTAACTAGATTTAGAATGAGACCCGCCATTAGTACTGAAGGTATTAAAGGTGCTGGAAAAGGTGGCAGAGGAAAGGCTGTAGAGGTGTGTGTGAGGCCAATCGTAGGGATCCATTAGATCCAGAGGATCTATATAAGTTTGAAAAGGTAACCCTAACTAGCCGTGAACAGGATCACGGCAATGAAACGGGAAACTTCCGGTCCACAAAATTTATTAAAGAAGCAAAGTTAAAATAAAGGGCTGTAACAATAAAAAGGTAAATGTAAAAAAACAGGTACAACAGTATAAAACACTCTCTACGCTTTATTATTAAGGCACTTACCCCTAAATGGGTTGAATAACTAAATTACAGATATAGGTACACGAAGGCTGTAGTGTGATTGAGCTTATTAAATGATTATAAACGTAGTAAAGAACCAGTATTAGCGATTATTCGCGATGGATTTGAAACCGCTCCGACTGTTATGGCGGTCGAGCTGAGAGTAACCGTGGTACGAAAAAAAAATGAGAAAGTGAAGGAAGATGGAACAATACAAATTTAAAATTTAAATCATCATCATCATCATCATCATCAATCAGCCATACGACGCCCACTGCTGGGCATAGGCCTCCCCCAACGATCTCCACGACGATCGGTCCTGCGCTGCCCGCATCCATCGGCTTCCCGCGACCTCCACCAGATCGTCGGTCCACCTGCTGGGGGGCCTACCCACTGAGCGTCGTCCGGTGCGCGGTCGCCATTGAAGAACCTTTCTGCCCCAACGGCCATCGGTTCTCCTAGCTATGTGCCCCGCCCACTGCCACTTCAGCTGAGCAATTCTTCGAGCTATGTCGGTTACCTTAGTTCTCCTACGGATTTCCTCATTTCTGATTCTATCACGCAGGGAAATATCGCTCTCTCCATTGCCCGCTGAGTGACCTTGAGCCTTCTTATGAGGCCCATAGTGAGGGACCACGTTTCTGATCCATATGTGATCACTGGCAACACACACTGGTCAAAGACTTTCGTCTTGAGATATTGAGGTAATTTGGACGCAAAGATTTTTTGGAGTTTCCCGAACGCTGCCCATCCGAGCTGGATTCGACGAGAGATCTCTTTCTCAAAGTTGGACTTACCTAATTGGACTGTCTGCCCCAGGTATACGTAATGGTCAACAACTTCGAGTGTAATGCTCCCAATTTTAACTGGAGCGGGTACAACATGGACATTCGACATGATCTTCGTCTTGTCCATGTTCATCTTAAGACCCACTCTTTGGGAAACACTACTGAGATCTTCGAGCATTGTGTTCAGGTCTCCCAAGGTCTCAGTCATAAGAACTATATCCTCGGCAAATCGAAGGTGTGTTAGGTACTCGCCATTGATGTTGATGCCAAGTCCTTTCCAGTCCAGAAGCTTGAAAATATCCTCCAACGCAGCAGTGAACATCTTTGGAGATATCACATCTCCCTGTCTCACGCCTCGTTGCAGTTGGATAGGATTAGAGCTCTGATCCTGTAATTGGACTGACATAGTGGCATTTTTGTATAAGTACCTTAACACCTCTATATACCTATAGTCTATTTGGCACCTTTTGAGAGACTGCAGCACCGCCCAGGACTCGATCGAATCAAAGGCCTTCTCATAGTCCACAAACGCTAAGCAAAGTGGCCGGTTATACTCCTCGGTCTTCTGTATAACCTTTTTTTTTTTTCGTATGGATGTGGTCTATGGTACTAAAACCCTTTCGGAAACCGGCTTGTTCGGGAGGTTGGAAGTCGTCAAACCTGCGAGCGAGACGATTCGTGATAACTCTCGAAAACAACTTATAGATATGGATCAGAAGCGAGATTGGCCGATAGTTCTTCAAGAGTGTTTTATCACCCTTTTTGAAGAACAGAACGACCTCGCCTCTGCCCCATGCCTTCGGCGTTTGACCTTCGACGATGACAGAATTGAAAAGCTTCTGGAGGACTTTAAGTATCGGCTTGCCACCCGCTCTCAGAAGGTCTGTAGTGATTCCATCATCGCCCGCCGCTTTGTTGTTCTTGAGTTGTTTGAGAGCCACACTAATCTCATACAGGCTGACGTCCGGGATATCTTCGGTATACGGTCGGGTAAGCTTGGCTCTGGGGTCTCTAACCTCGCTTTCAACAGGTGCTTTCGTGGAGTATAGCTGTCGATAGAAACTCTCTCAGAATTTCAGGCTTAGATGAAATGATGCTACCGTCATCAGTCTTTAGCTTCGCAGTTGGCTTTGCCCAATAGACAGATCTCTCGCGAACACCTTGGAACCCTTGTTCCGTTCAATGGCCTCTTTAATACGCTCTGTATTAAATTGGCGTATGTCGCTAGTCAAAGACTTCGATATTTGCCTATTTAACCGCCTGTAGTGACTTGCATCCTCCGAGTTCTGTATTTCATGAAGTGTTTTGTCGGAGAGTTTCTTTATTCTGGTACGGTGGGTTTTGAAAAACTTGGACCCAACCGTACGGACAGTGTCCACCACCATGTTGTTTAGATCGTCTACATCTATGCAGTTTTCGAGGGCTTCGAAGCGGTTTTGAAGTTCGAGCTGAAAGCTCTCGGGGTGTTGGAGTTGTGCAGGTATTGGTCGGAGCGTAGACTCTATCAGTCGAATTCTTTCCAGCCGGATATTGATATTCAATGTGTCTCATACCAACCGGTGATCACTTCCTGTTTTAACGGTGTTGATCACAGAGACATCATTGAATATATGCTTTTTCGTCGACATGATGCATGGCTTTTGAGATCTCCTCATACATAGCCTCCACTTCGTCACCTGGGTGTGTCGAGGTCGGAGCATAAACCTGAATGACATTCAACGAATATCGTTTCGATATTCTGAGTATCAGGTATGCCACTCTGGTCGACACACTTCCGATGGAAATCACGTTGTTAACAAGGAACTTGTGGACAATAAACGCGACACCGCCAAGGGACTGTTGGTCGCCCTCCCGGTAGTACAGTAAGTTGCTGGAATTAAGGATTATCGAGTCCTCCCCCTCTCTTCGGACTTCAGATAGCCCAATGATATCCCAGCGTAACTTACTAATAGCTTCTTCCAATTCTGTGAGCTTTGCGTCGGTCCTCAATGTGCGCGTGTTGTAGGTTGCCAGGTCCAGTCGTCGTCGTTGATGGTAGCCGGGTCTCCCCCGGGGATTCTTCGCACCCCATGCCCTGTTTCTAAAGCAGCTACCGTGACTAGGAAGAGCAGGACTGCCGGGGACTAGGGGCCAATTCTTTGGTGTGTATATCATAGGGGGGGTTGTGCCATAATCGCCACGCTTGGCAGGCGGGTTGGCGATCGCAGTTCTGGCCAAGATGGGTAGAAGACGCTGCTGCCCGTCTTCTTCTGACAATTTTTTCCTTAGTCGCCTTTTACGACACCCACAGGATAAGAAGGGGGTGGTGCTATTCTAGGCCGGCACCACACGGCATTTTAAATACGGCAAAATTTAAATACATGTAAAATAAAAAAAATGATAGGATACAAGCGGAGAGAGGCGATACAAAAAGGTGAGTAAGTCCTATAAAGTAGACTGAAGTTGGAAGAGGTATATGAGAAGAATTGATACCCAAAATAATAACGCACACACTCAACATAGCCTAGGGAAACCCTGTGTCGCAGGTGCCATGGACACACACATAGACAACCACAAATTACACCCAAACTCACGAGATAAATAATGTAGGCCATACAAATATTTCTCCCGGCCCGGGAATCGAACCTGGGACCTCTGCGTGACATCCGGCATGGTAACCGTTCGGCCACGCAAGCAGTTATCAGGTCAGTTATTATATAGTTATCGGAGCAGAATCTCTTGCGATAGAAAATAATGTCGCGTATTTAATTTACATTATGATAGGGCCTTAGAGCATTTGCCTACTGAGTCCGATCCACATCAGTTAAAATCCGAGAAATTACGGTTCGAAGTAGTCGTAGTTACTTTCGGGGCTCCGTCACTCGCTCAAGGTTACATGATAAGTGCCCATCGCTGAGTGCGCCGACGTCGGCGTAAATGGTCAAAGGGTGTTGCACGCACATCTGAATGGTCGTACGGCATGTTTCGTAGGAAAAATGTCGCAATGTCGAAATCTCGTATTTATTGGTCAGTGGATGGATGTAAAAATAGGAAAACTGACAATAAATTATCATTTTTTTCATTAGCGAAATATCCTTACTGTCGATTCTTTGTGCCTTAAAATCCTAAGAATTTAAGTTGGTATGGTCTGTTCCAATCCATTTTAGACAAAAAGTAAACAAACCTTGTTGGTTAAACTTCTAAAGCAAACACTCAATAAATCGGATAAGCAACACTTTCACATATATTTCGAAGATTTCTACTTGATCTCGTCACTTTTTCCAACAATATTCATTTGAATAGCATCGTGAAATCGTATTTGAAAAATGGTAGTTCAAAAGTGAGGTCATTTTTCATCTTTTATGACTTCTCTATGGTTGCATAGTGCTGTACGACAAAAAACATTCCGTTCATTCAATTACAGTTTTTGTAATCGATTGGGAAATCGAAAATTTCAATCGCAATCAAACTAGTATCTAAGTGCAAATATTTGAAGGATTTAAAATTAAGATTTCGGAAATTTTAAATTTATGCTTTTATAGGTTATGTATTTTTACTATTCATTTAAGGAAAACCGCTAGTATGACTCAATTAAAGAAATTACTAGTTTGTTTACTTTTTGTTTAAAATGGATTGAAAAAGTTACAGGATGTGATCTACGAATTATGAGATTTTTAAATATTTAATATCATGCCTAATGTAAGAAAATACAAAGTTATTTTCAACTATTTGACTTTTAGTGTGTGTAAGCGAGATTCAAGCAAACGGTTTTCAAATCATTTCTTTCTATGTTCTACCGTTCTACTTTGTTTTTATTGTACTTACCCACTTTTTTATCGGTACCTAATCTAGTTAAGGACCTAAAAGATTTTATAATAACGCTTGCGCACCGCGTCCGATCCTAGTCCGAACACAGCGGTGGTGACGGTTGCTTGAAGGGAAGGGAAACAGCAAGTGTCGATAAATACTCGTATAATATACGTATACATATAAAATTAAATTAAAAGTGGACACACCGAATGAGTGTGTGTTATTACTGAATAGTAATAATTATAAATAAATTTCTTGCTATCTTGTTTAAGTTCGTCATAATTATCATAAAATGTTTCTTTGAAAAGTCAATTTAATAGGAGAAGGTACCCAAAGTGTACCCAAAACTTTTTAGTTCTTCTGCGTCTTCGTATAATAACAATGCCGAAAGTTGACGGAGATTGAAAGGCCAAATAGTTAGTAGTAATCTCTAGGTGTACAAGCGATATTCCTATTTTCTCGGATTCGTATCGGACTAGTGCACAAGCGACATCCGAAGTCGGTCCGAGTTTTCTAGATTTGTATATTCGGAACGGATGCGAATCGGACGCAGGCGCAAACGCTCTTAGCAGTAGCGACAGCTAGTATAAGATAAAATTGTTGATACTGATGTCATCATCGTGGAAGAGAATCTTAGTTCTTTATATACGAATATTATTATAAGTACCATACAGCACCACAGTTTTGAGGATATTGTAATAGTAACAGCACTTTCAGTACGTACTGAAAATGTAATGTTTGCACCTACTAGCATTCCGGGTGTGAATACACCAGCAAGCTATTTATTATTTCTTAACAGAAATACATAATATTTAAAACTGGCTACTCGTATATACCATTTTTAGCTTCATAACCACTATAATTGTAGAATCATTGTAATGTAATCATGTACTCCAGTAACCTGAAACGTAAACGCATAACCATGCGTGCATTCCTCGCCGCGGTCATACATTCGCAGTCCACTTTCTAACCATACATAATAAGAAGTAACGACGGCGTCTGTGGCGTGAGAAAGCCTGTAGAGGGTGCTAAAGTGCTATAGTGGAACAAGATATGGCACCGGAAAAGGAAATAGTTGAGTGTCACTCTAATTTTAAGTGTCACTCTAATTTTAAAAGCTCGGAACAATGAAGTATGCATAAATAATTAGTTTACATCTACGCTTAGTGAAATAAAGAGAGTTAATCTTATTACACCTCTTCTTCTCTCCCCTTTTATAGAAATACGCCTACTCTAATGCCATACGGAGGGAAAGGAATGTTAAAGTTCATGGTCTTCGTTTTATTTAAAATGCTATGTTATTTGGAAGAAAAAATTCTAATGATTGAGGCTTTCGATCAGTGTAGGGCTAAAGGTTTTTTTTTCAAATTTGGCAGGTTAAATTCCCGATTTTTTTTTTTTGGCGATTATTTAAAAATCTTTGAATACAGTTCGATTTGTTTTTAAAATCAAAATGAAGTCTTTTTTCAGTAAAATGTTCTATCTACGGTATTTGAGGTCTTCCCCTCCGTGTGGCATAGCCGTAAGACGCCCTGTATAAGGCACAAAAATTCGTACATAGACTTGACAAGGCTGTATGCATGATATTCAAAAGAGACTCACCGCAACAAAGGCTGCCCGTCAAGAATGTGATGTATTGTAGGTGGAGAGGAAAGTTCAAGTCCTCGCGAGAGTAAAATGGTTTCGCTCGCGTCTGGCGCGGCTTCACCCTCCGCAGTCGAGGGACTCGAGCCCATCATTGCCAGCACTTGAACTTCCATTATCGTAGCTGTATAAAAAAATATTTGCAATATTCAGAGTACATATTTAAATTAGCTTGATTCTAATTTGTATTTAATCCACAGCAATATTATAAATGCGAAAGTGACTGTTACGTTTTCACGTCTACACCGCTGAACCAATTTTGATGTATAGAGATAGATGGGATCTAGGTTAAGGACATAGGATACTTTTTGTCACATAAATAAATCTTAAATGGAGTGAAATAGGGGATGAAAGTTGGTATGGAAAACCAATATAACTATTAAAATTGGTATGGTCCAGTAGGCTACTCGAAGTACTTATTACACACCAGCTAGTGATTAATAAGTCTAGCTAGTCTTTCATAATTATTTAGGTAAACAATACTTACAAAATGAAAGTGGCGGTATGTCCAGATCTGGCGCTAGAAGTCTTGACGCACAAGCAGCTCCGGCATAGACGAGCTCCATCTCCAAAGCTACTAAGCCTTGCCGTTGCGATGTGAATGGAGTGTCTTCATAGCCCATGCACAGACAGCGAAAGCCGAAATGATTTTCTTCACTGTGGTAAGTATAGAATGAATAATAGGTTAGATAGATTGTACCACATTAATTTGAGAAAAGCATAACTGTTAAACTAAACATTGAACTAATGGCACAATATTGACTTCAAATGTTCGTGTTGTCAGAAACTTTTTATTAAAAATTTGCGCAATACGGCGAAGGGCAAACATATTTATGTATTCCACGAATTTATATTCTAAACATTTACTTCACCACATATGCCAATAATGGTGTTAGTAGACAATGGCATTTGTAAAAACGTGGAAAAGAGACATGACGACACCACTAGGCATTCCTATACATCGTTTTCACCTCATCAACTGCCCCAACTGATATTTATGATGTAATTCAGGAAGACTTACGACCTTATTCTGTTTTCAAAAGCGATAATTTTTCATTGATCGTTGTGTCTTATGTACATTTACTATATGAGTAATTTTCAGGTTAGATTTATTTACCTAATTTCGGCGGCAATTTTTATTATATAAATATTCTAGAATATTCATATATCATGGTGTATTACTTAATATTGGAATGTAGGATCCTGAAATATTATTCATATTTCACGACATTACAGTCGAATACTTAAATTATAAAAATTGCCACCGAAATTAGGTAGACAAAACTAACCTGAAACTTATACATATATGAACATAACTCATTGATGTAATGACTTTGACACGAGGCACACCTCAAGATGGGGTTTACAACGGAAAACAATTCGCCTAATGCTACTAACAACAGCTTATCAAAGAGTGACAATAGTGACAATAATCGTTTCTAGTGGCAAACTTCTACACAAATACTCACTTGTTGATCTTATTGTATTCTGTCAGGTAGTCTGAAGATGTCTCCAATGAGAACACCACTTCGTTACCGGGCACCAAAAGCGCCTTTTGAGGCCATTCAGATTGACTGCAATGATAAATGTGGTCTTATTTACTAAACGTAAAGGTCTCTCCATGTTGGTAAAAAGCTGTCAAGCCAAACTTTCAAAAGGTTGTTTTTACGACGTCCTTGGAGATCAATACCCACTTTTTAACAATTCCGCAATACGGCAAGGGTAAATAAACCTAACCTCAATTATTCGGTATTAAGTTTAGTATGTAGTAGCTTTGGATTGTTCTATTATGAAATATGTATATTTGAAATAAATATACTTATAAGCATTTATTTCAATATAGCGACGTACTTACACGTTAGCTAGTTTAGGTGTAACGCTGATGTAAGTGCAGTTGTAATGCATGCAAGGGGCGTCGGCGTCGCCTTCGTCACCGAGGTCCTCAACTTCACCCGTGTCTGATGTCAGTTGTATGACACGCTTTAAACAAACGACTATATTAGGGACACATGAGTATCTTAGATAAATACTGAACCTATTTAAACAAGCAGCATTCTTCAACAAAATATAATTTTTACGGACTTATAAAAACAACACTAAAAGCTTTATGATGTATACGCGGTACCAACTCAAATCAGGAAAACCCAACTCTAACCTTCCTGACGCGGTGACCCAATGACTGTTCCCGTCAGGGCAACTTTTCGCTATTAGGTCATTTGGAGGGCGCTCAGATAGCAAAATAACAGAAATTAATTTAACAATAGTAAGTAAACAGAGATTTAATAATTATGTATTGTTCATTATTAAATACCTCACTGTACACTGCTAGTAATAAGGGCTTTTGTTCCTATTAAAGAACAAAAACAAAAAGTGCAGATTTGTCTATGTTTCGCTAGATAAAAAGCCTTAATAGAATTATTTGTTGCTACGCGCGGTATTGCGACACGACAATAGACAGTAAAAGGGGTTGAAGTCGATATTTTTAGACTAAACCGATAAGAAAAACTCGACATGAAACTGTGTAACCTGGTATCTACGTATGCGATTCATACACGATGTATTATTGTTTGATTTTGATATGTTGTGTTTGTGTTTTATAATAGTTCTCTAAGGAGCCATGTAGTTGTGGTAGAAAACGTATGTATTATGTAAAATGTATGTATTCTATACAAGAACTTGTATGAGTGAATGATGATGAATAGTAGTTTATTTAACGTCTGCGATTTTTACGTCGTTTTTGAAAAATTCTTCCAGGGGTTGCCAATTACTTTTCGGTTTATACTAAATGTAGAAAAATGAATGAAATAGTGAATGAATGATGCTCTACCTTATATACCTTGCGGTAGGGCGGGTCAAGTACCCGCACTTCATTTGAACAGTGGCATCTGTGTTTAGGCGTACCAGCCACGGCGTAAATTGTCAATGTGTCCTCAGGTTGAGCGGTGACACTTCGAGGATCCATTTCCAAAACTATCCAAGATACGGTTGCAGGGAATAATACTCTGCAAAAATTATTAGTAAAAATATACACACTACAACTATACGGCAAGAAAAATTAACGCTTCTTGCCAACGTACGTTAGGGACCTTTCAAGTTTAATATTGAATCATTTACAGGATTCAGATTCAGATTCATTTATTTCCCAAATATAATATTACAGTATTAATTGCACTACATGTCAAAGTATAACAAATTACATTGAGATCGTCAGACAAAAATAAAAATAACAATACATTAATAACAATATTGTTGTCATTAAATTACATATCAAATATCATTCTCCATCAAGAATCGTCATAAGTTGATAACAAATATGCAAAAGGACGAAAATGCGATAAAAATTTAAATATAATAGAAAATACTCAATAGCGTTACATTTTTAAGTCGATAAATTAATTTACAGAGTATAAAGGGTTTCCCAAGAAAGGTAATTCCACAGGGGCATGTTGTTTTTAAATAATGCACAAAAGCTCGTAATAAAACGAATTCTCACCTCATACTCGTAACGGTAGCTTGTTTGTAAGGATGATCACTCTCGACCCATGCATAAAACTGTGTGGTTGTCGAACAGATCTCGTCAACGCTGGGCACCAAAAGGTTCATTGCCGCAACGTGTGGCAGCAGTTTATGTATCATCTCCAGGAGTTTGATAACGCTCTGTAAAAGAAATAAGTTAAATGTCAATGGCAGAAAAACAATATGAAATGTACTGTATTTACTTCTTTAAAAGCTTGTAGCACTTAATCTGGATATAGTAAAGATGAATTCATATTACTACAGTGTTTACAAGGTTTTAAATAATTTCAATGGTTATATTGTATTAAACGCAAGTACAATATTTTTCATTATTAGCAGTAGAGCTCATTGTAAAAGAGTTCGTGCGTCCAGAGAAGTACTGCCACCTTACTTATTTCTGCCGCCAAGCAGTAATGTCAGTATTAGTGTGTTCCAGTTTTGGATGATAAGGGTGCTGGTGAAATCACAGGCACTTGAGACTTGTCAACTTATGTCTCAGGGTGACAGGCGCAGCGGCTGTGCCCTTTAGATCTTTGCGACTTAAAGCTCTGAGTGGCACTGCAACTATTATGGACAGGCGTGTACCTTAGAATCATCCAAGCCATCGAGGTTAGCCAAAGTGTACGGCAGTAAAGTATTTATGGCAGGAGAATGCTGCAATACTGCAGCGTTTTTTCTCAGATCTTCGGCTGTCAATTCGTTGCGTAGAGTGCAGAATAGCTCAGCTCCTCTCTCCATAACCATCGACGCAACACGTAGGGTTATACTTCGGATAGCCGTTATTAAAGAATCCGTACTTTGCGACGGGTCGTTGGTGAGAGATTTAGATGTACTGCAAGATGTTAAAAACAAAGTTTATTATAGCGTGTCCACCATTTCCTAAAAGGTGAAAGGTTTTGTTAAGTGACAATCCCTTCCTTTCTACGTAAGTTTTGATTACAGCGTCTCTTCCTACCGACATTTAAAATATACGAGAAAGACACTATAACCTGGGCGTGCACAGGAACATTTTATATTCTGACCCCATATCAGCCAGTGTACAGGGTTGTCACAGACCGTTGTCACCACAGACATGTATCTAGATAGACGCCGCAAGTATACGTACTTCGCGTGCCCAAAGTATGTGAAATTCACTTACTTGCCGCTGCTACACTTCAGAACGCGCTCGACCGTTATCGTAGATAAACACCAGTCGAAAACGCGAAAAATGCATAATTGTGCCATTATAAACTGCAAATGCACCATAACTGTGGGAAAACGGGTAAACAGAGACGTTTCTTTCCACGGGCAAGTGATTTTGTAACCAGAAGATGCATAATTTATTTTAAAAACAATTATTTTGGTTTTGTATGAATTGCGAGAAACCAAATATGCAACCCAGTGTATGTCTCATGATTTGTAATACATTGCGGCTTTTACTTGGCGCGACATATTTGTGATCCTTTGTTAATACGCCTTGAATATCGAACGAACGCACTTTTGTATAATGCATTCAATTTCGTGGTACGGCCGCTTGTACATTCTTTTGGGCAAATTTAACATTTAGTGATTTAGGCAACACTGCCTAGGCTTTAGGCTTTCTCTGTTGTCTCGATTCCGATCGATTTTGAAAACAAAGGGATTAAAAATTATTATGACCTTAGCAATATTATAAAAATATTCTATTACTAACTCTTTTGTAACGTTTCGTTTTTTTTTTTTTTTTTTCAGTTTTGTAGTATCTATTATCAGCTTATCTGAAATTTCGATAATTTTTGCAGCACGTGGCCTCGATTGTCCGAATATAGTGAGCAAATAATTACATACATAGTACGAGTAATATAAAACAATATAAAATGGGAAGAATGTAACAGTGCGCTGTCTTTACAAAAATCTAGAGTTAGTCATACATATGAGTTCGTTGCTTTCAAGGACAAGGGTGGTCTAGTATGTCCCACCAAAAATGCTATTCAAATATCATAAATAAATAGTAGCAGTCAGAAATTCGAGATATCACGACCAAATCACAAAATCTTTATACGAGGCCGACATAAAGTAAACCTCTTCTGATTAGTAAGTTTTTACGATATTTTGTCAGCAGTAACATTTTCAGTTGTCTTGCCATTCGCTAATTTGATCAATCACCGACGGAAAATCATCTAGTAAATTTATTTAAGGCAGTTGCAAGTTCATATATTGACGTCCGTTTTCATTATTTAAATCAATCGATAAGATCTTCTATTACAAAACGACGGTTATATAAGAAGCTTATTTTATTTGAAGGACAATAATTTTAATATTTGAAGTTGATTAAAAATTGAAGTTTCAATTTTTAAGTAACCAAAATTTTTTTAAAACAACTTGTAATAAAGGACATAACTATCTTGTTTTGGTATCTTTCTACTAAATTAATATTTCACGACTACTTGTAATCAACGAATACTTGAATCGATTAATTGAATGGAATACGTGTACTCCGTTCAATCAATCGCTTTCATCAATCGGATCGGATCGAATCGGATCAATCGGAGGTTTCCCATCACTAAATAGTTCTTGTGACGTCATGGTGGATGCATAAAATGTGGCACGCTCGGTTTTCATACAAATTGCTGTACTTGCGGCGTCTATCTAGATGTATGTCTATAGTTGTCACTGACTTCATCCTATTCTCAAGAGGCTAGTATTCTCCGTATTTTCCAGATAGGCATCGTTCAGTGACAGTATTAATTTCAACATATGATATTATGACTATACTATACCTATGACTAAACTATACCTAAAATAAATAAGACAGGGTATCTGCCCCCTTGCAAGCGTAGTCCCGTTGAAGCTCAAGGAACAAGAGGCGAAACGGAACGTGGTGTCATCCGGGCCCTTCACAGATGGCAAACCGCAATCGCCGTTGGCTGTTCGGCCGCCGTGGTTGCATAGTCTTATCGCGTAACGCAGATCCTCCTGGAAAATATAGATGTGTGTAAAAAATAGCATAGGCGAATATTGGAAACAGTGAGGTCATATTGAAATACTGATTATTTTCATTACTTAATTCACATTGAATGCCCTGTCAAAAACGAATGCTACGCTGTAGATATAGTACATAATGCGAGTTAGCTACGTCGTAATTAAGAAATATACTATAAACTACGGTAATACAGCTGACAAATCAATACTGGGAACGCAATCAATAAAAATCATTGGTTTTACCTTGATGTTAACGATTAAAACTGTAAAATAGCCTGTCAAAGTTAAATAAGTTACAAACCTTCAAAGGTACAGGTTTATCGAACTTGAGCTGCACCATGTCGTGCTGGCATTCAGCCGCCGAGAAAGCACCATGGGCCATTTCCACGCTCACCCAGCAGTGAGAGGGATTCGTGTCCTCAACGCCGCTGCGCAACTGTCGAGGAATCCTGTTTTTAGTACTAGTAGTAGTCTAATATGTTTCTATTTATTTAGCCTATACTACTATTAATACTAGTAGAGTCTAAAGTATATGATGATGAACCCCGACCATATAGCGGCACACAATAACTCTTATGAATGTAGTTGACAAACGTGATATTTGATTCATCCTATATCAAAAGAAACCCATTCAAATGTGTAAAAATAACATTCGAAGTAAAGAAATAATGAACTCACCCGAACGTCGTGTAACAACTCCAAGGAATATTCGTAATTTCCCATTCCGCCATATACGCAGACGCCCACAAGCATGATGCCAGGACGATCGACGGTAAAGCAAATCGCGTCGGGACTGCCGTTGCCGGTGTTCCACGCACGCGATTGGTTCATACGCATGAAACGCGACGGCGTTATTAGATGCTTCACTGTGTTTGTCTCTTGATCCTCCTAAAGAAATATAGAAAATCCGTTAAAAAATAAATACAATTAAAAAAAGATGTGTATTATGTTGTAACTCATGCGATAAATACAACCGTTCCTAAATTTCAATTAATAATTAACTACCACTTACCCTAATGTTGGTGGCACTGTAAGATAACTCCGCGACAATTCTGGTCGTCAACTTGCAACTGAACTCTGATAGTCGTTCGTATTGCTTAATTTCGCCATGATCGTGCGGCTGTCCGCATTGACGCGTCATCATCTGTTGCTTTATAGGGATCATTACAATGTCAAGCAACTTTGGTATCACATCCAGTAAATTCCATTCCTTGTGACATGGTTTTGTGTCCAATGAGTCCACTGGCTGAAATGCAAGAGTCAATTGATCAATTGAATTTTATTATACCTATTTGCTTATGTTACATTCCTCTTTGAAGATAAAATTTATTGAAACTAAATATAAATTTCAGTAACAAACCTTTATAGTTTCTCTGTTATTTGCTCGCGGTGGAACCGGGGGTGGTTTCTGACCGTGCGAAGACCGAGGCACTGTAGCTGACTTCAAAGACGGCATTTCTTTCATGATCTTACTGTCAGATCTTCGACTTTCAATAGCCATAAGACTATTCTGAGTAACAGGGACAATGTATTGTAGGACATCGCGAAGGCTTTTTGAGGCGCACATCGCTGCGCAACTAGAAGTCAGTTCGCGAATCTGAGACTGGGGTACCACGCCGTCCTACGGGAGTAATAAAATCAAATTAAACTAGTGTTACTGAGAACAAATGAGTCATGGTGGTAGTTAGTAAACTCGGCTACAATTGTTATGACTTCACATTGAATTGCGTACATGAAATGTATTTGGCTGTTTTCTTAATTTTTATTTCTTGGCGTTCTATTAAACTTTATTTCGACTGCACACTACTATCGGGTAATTTTCCAGAAAACAAATCTGAAAAATTGGAATAATATAATTCGATGGCTATTATTATGTTCCACGGTTAGATATACCTTTTAAAGTTTTATTTAGCGTGAATTATAAAATAAAATTGTATAGCTAAAAGAGAAAAACGAGAATTAAATGATGGACAACAGCAAAAAAGAACCATAGGTAAAAAAAATCTTTATGATGGCTCCATCGTTTTCGTTCAGTATATTGAACTTACGACAAGTGTTGACTGTCAAATGTGTAAAATATAGGAAAAATATTCGGAACTGTATTCATTTTTCTAAAAAATATGATTTTTTAAATGGAAATTTTTCCATGACCTATTGCACACATAAAAATCGAAGGAATACTTTTAAAACGTCATCTATTGGTAAATTATTCAACTACGACTTGAAAAGTGTCTTTCGAATGTCAAAAGAAAACTGCATTGGTACACCTGTATGCTGATCACACAAATTATGAAAATTTACCTACCTTTACGTGAAACAGTAGCGAGCATAAATGATTCCACTTTAATGTCGGAGTGGGAAAAAAGGCATGGTAGCACGCTGTAATTGTCTCATGACATTCCTTCAGTACTGAGTTGGTCAATTCCAACGCAAACTGCACGTAGCACACTCTGTGGGCCTTATTTTTGCCTGGCTTCCGTGGTAACATCGAGCAGGCAGGCGTCGGATCAGACATGACACCCTGTATCAAATTCCTCACATCGGCGATTGGTTCAAAATAGGACATATATTCATGAGAGTTCCGTTTTTTGGCGTCTTGCGGATAGATCTCGTTTATGTACGATTTAACAAGCCTAAGGCAAGCTCTGATGACATAAACTAATCTTTTCTGATGTTTCATCATAGTCAACTTCTGATAATTTATGGGTATCTGGCCATTTGTTTCTAAAACAATGTCTTTGAACGTGTTCCAACTATAATGCAACAGTGTTATCAAAGATCTAAAGCATTGTACTGTGACTTTTCTGGATATGTTCTTAGACAAAATTATAACGGGATCATCAAGTTCCGCGCTCCTGATGGGAATAGCTTGGTCTGGGCTGACAATATTGTACAGCAGAGAAGGTATTTGGCCTGCATTGACGTCTGTGCCGTTGTTCGATTTTTTAGAAGTTTTGAAATGAAACCCAATTTCGTCATTGATGACCATAGCTTGACCTGACGATCCACAGTCGCTTGAAGGTCCATTTATGCAGGCCCATGCGATGTACCACCGATTAGCCTACAAAATATAACAAGTATTAATTTGCGCAGTCTTTCGATCTATTGCGATGAAGTCATCAACAACTTACCGTCAATGGTATGGGTGCATCAAATAATACTGGATATCTGTCTCTGGGGGCGCACTCGTAAACCACCTCGTCACTTTCTGCAATTAAGTCACCATCGCCTTCCTGATCACCGCCTTCAGAACCAATGTCAAACAACTTAATCTTCGCTGTGTAATCACCGCGACCACCATACAAACCAAAACCCCCTGAAAAATTACAAGATTTAGTGAGGAAAACTTAAAATACACCCAAAACAGTCAGCATTGGGCTTTTCCATCTATAACAGTAATGTTTGGACACCTATACGTTTGCTCTAGGAAGCATGATATGATAGACTATCATAATCTTTTTCAATGTCATATTATAAACGTTGTCACTTGTACATACCCAGCAAGATGTCAGTATCGCACATAAACCGGATAGCCTCGACGGAATGTCCAGAGTAGCCCCAGCCACCGCCATGGCTCTCAAATCTGTTTACTGTTTGAAAGTCCTCCTTCACTGGCACGATGGGAGACGATGCATTATCTCTTTTGCACTCCATTTGATTCAATCTGATCAAAATATTAGAAATTTATTGTTATTGTATACTTATTAATAATTATAACTATCGAACATTCAGCAAACTTACCTGGTGTCATGTGCAAAAGTGAGGGAATCTAAACAACCCAGCAAATGCAACGAGGCATGCATTCTTGTCACGGAACAGCCTAGGACACAAGGAATCGCCAACTCTTGATTGAGAATCGACATAGTTGAAAGAGCAACATTCGTTGGTCGATCTTCATTGTTGAAAGAAAGATCGAGATTCTCAAGATTTTTGAAGTCTTCTAGTCTTTTCATGCTTCCGTAATTAGGATATTCATATTCCGCGTCAACCGAATAAACGTCGGGTTCGTTATTGCAGCACCGCTGCAACTTATGTGGGTCAAAAGCCAGAATGTTGTAACACTTCATAACTCTCATCTGAGGTTGATAGCACCAAAGAACGTCGTACAACGGGTCGAGACAAGCGAGAGAATTTACAAAGTCAACTTGCTCCGGTCCAGTCCAAGCGTTACATGTACCGTCGATTTTGTTTATTGTTATGCATTTGAACGTATGTTCTGGCCTGTTGGGTAGGATTACTGCAAAAGAAAAATATTATTTATTTTTTTGATATTTCATCAAAAAATACTTGACCCCTCTGAGCAAAGACGAGTATTGGTTCAACTTATGATTAACGTTTACTATTTTTCGTTTACTTGCCAACTAACTCTCGTCTCATGTCCAAAGCAGCCAAGCGTTTGAGGGCTACCATCGAAAATCACCAGAGGAAATAACGTCGATGTACTTTGGTAGCTATATCCGTAACCACTGTCAATATGAGAATGGTAACCCTCGTAATATTCATAGCAAACATATTACCTATACTGTTATTGTTAGCAGTAATAGTGGAGCTAAACAATGTGTCAGTCTTTATTAGGGCCTGCGACACCTGGACAAAAGTCTGTTCGCCAGAGGACGTCACCCATACTGCCTTACATGCATGTCGAGGTCCTATCTTGGGTACTCGACCGGGTGTTGCGTACCAGATTGGACACCGGTCTGATCTAGCTGACTCTTCGATTCGTGGTCGACCAAGTGAGCCTCTCTGATGAAATAAGATAACGGGGATTAAGTACTTCCATTCACAATTACAAAAAATATATATTTATTTATTTAAAACTATAAAATAAATTAACAATTAGGGACAAGAACATTTCTTAGCCAGCCTGAACTATAACAGGCGCGATTTAGTCATCTAATATAATACCGATGCGAATTTCGAATATCTCAAGCGTCAATGTAACTTGGTGATTGAAATGAAAGTCTGATGCGCTGCGCCTTGTGTCAACTAGCTTTTTTCTTGCGCTAATCAATTTATACACAGGCAAACTTCTATCGCTTGATGATTTTAACACGCAAGACGAAAACCAGCAATGCACTTTTTTTATTCACAAGGAGCTCTATTGCTACTAAATTATATTGAAACATCTCATGTAAGATGCGATAGTTTAAAAAGTGCTGAACCATTTACCTGATAATTTCCAAACGTGAAAAGTTCCCCGTCTCTAGTAAGCACAGCAGTTTGGTTGCTACCGGCGGCTACGGCCTGTGCCCTAGGCACACGCACGCGCACTATCCTGTGATGAACTGATACATCGCCAGCGCCTAATTGCCCGTATTGATTCGACCCAAATGTTAGAACTTCACCTGTTTACGACAAGATGCATTTCAAATAAATTTTATACATTTGCATGAACGTAATGACGCAATAATTAACTCAGTTGTACATCTTAACCTAATTCTTGAACTTACCATGTTCAGTGAGCATGACAGTGTGATGCAGTCCACAAGAAATATTGATAACTTTGTGCCCACCAGGCACAGCGATTCGTGCAGGCGGCAAACAGCTTATTTTCAAACTAGAATCGCGATCTAGCTCCGATGTATTTATATGTCCCTCGTATTTAGCTATATCTTTGTCTGAAAGACATCAATTTGACATTTAAAGTAACAAATAAATTCGCAAATAAATTATGGTGCCTTATTTAGACAATTAGTCGATGATCTAAAACATGACCTAGACGTCGTGTTGCGGACACCAACCCGTCACACCATACCATACATCATAAGCCTCATTACTAAGAATACCCTATCACACGACAAAACAATATTTGAGCTATGACGGGACGTCGAGTATATAACCAGAAATAGAGACGAAAAGTCATTTGATTTGTTTGAAAACTATTCTACCAAATCATTACGGTGACAACTGCGCTCCGATTGGCCAGCTAGAATTCAAAACTTTTGACGGGTGTCGTCAATTGTTTCACTTCAAATTCATCAATTCAATCAAATCGACCAGTTTAACTTGAGCAATGCTATAATGGACAATATTGAAAAATGACATATTTCATATTTAATTACCTATATAATGTGATTCCGTTTTTTTGTAATCAGATGTTTTGCTATTTTTTCCACGCTACCGAATGGAACAGCCCCCCATTGTTAGAGATATTATCTTTATTACAATAAATATAGAATATTTTTGGAATATACGGTGTCCTACATACAGGTCAGTTGTTGCAGCTGTACTATTTCAGCTGTCTAATTTGTGATTTTAATGCAAACAAGAGTTGAATTTTAAAAATTTATATAAGGCAAATGAGCCCTGATTTGTTGCCAGGGATGGATGACCTTTATTTCGTCTCTATTTCTGGTTATATACTTGATGGACCGGGATAACGGGTTTAACTTACCGCTCCGAGTATCGGACTTGACAGAAGCGTCATCATCCAAGTCTGTGGTAATAGTAGTCGTCCGCTCGGAACGATTGGGCGCTGTAAAAGTGTCCGCGCACCTTCGGCAAATGCCGCACGCGCTGCACCCGCTATCACCCTCGCCGCAACCGCATTTTCTAAATGTACATAGTCAATGATGAGCCAAATAACAACGCCAATGTATACATTCATTATTGAAGTATATATCGACTCGTCCGTAGAACAAAGGTCTATGTGCAAGACTACTTGTTCTCAGGACCATAGTACATTTCGTTCGTTCTTCTTCGCTGTGGATGTCAGATCGACCGTTGTTCGATTTTATATTTCCGAAACGAAATAAGATATAAAAATTCTTTAAACACCTTTACACAGGCCTTACTTTGAAGAACGAAATTACGTATTTATTCTCTTTTCGCTGTATAATCACATCGGACTTTGTTCTTCGGATGAGTCGATATAGTCTTTTCTGCAGAATAAAAATTTTATTAATGTAAACTACAAGCTGTGCACGATCTTCTTTATGAAAAGAATTGAAGGCCACAGTCACCAGACGAGTTCTAATTTTGTGAACTTTCTCGAACATGCAGGTTTCATCACGATCACATTCTTTTCCTTCATCGTTAGGGTAAGTGTAAGTTTGTAAACTTGACTATAACAGAATAATGGTAAGAACAACTGAGTCGGTAGTTGGTAGAAGTATTCTTTATTTATAATATTTGTTATTACGGTATTATGTGTTTATTTATGCATCTTACACTGTTGCTTGAATCAATAAGAGCCGAAGTACTGGAAGTGTAATGTGGCAACGAGTCTAAAATAATCAATAATGCAAGCTGTGGTTGGTCATAGTACCCAAAATAAGAACTTGAATATATTCTAAAGATCGTGTTCAGGAGATGACAATTCAGTGCGTTCAAAGGAAGTATGGAGAACGCTCAGTGAAGAATTTCAAGAATGGAGAATAAAAACTGATACTCACTCGCCAGGGACTCTATTAGGGAGGTTAGCGCACTGACAGGATGCAAAACCGGTGCATTCGCGACACAACATGCAGACGCGGCAATAATCTGTTGTCCACGTGTGCGCCGAAGAACAAATTCGGACGTCTTCACGGTTCGCGCTGTGTCGCCGTCCTGGAAACGACTCTAAAAGAAAAAGCATTGGTTAAAGATCTAATGCTGCAGCGCATTCAAATGAACAAGAAAAAATTACGACTATGTGCTACACAGTCAAACTGTGGCGTTTCGTCTCAAACGTATAAACAGTCAGTACGCGAGTACCAGCGTAACCAAAATAACTCCGCAGACACTATTCACAACATTCTGGAATGCCACGCAGAAGTCCCGGATTCGATACCCGGGCCGGGAGAAATATTTGTGTGACCTACATTTCCTTCACTCGTGACTTTGGGTGTAATTTCTGGTTGTTTATGTGTGTCTCCATGGCATCCGTGATACTGGGTTTCTCTAGTACGGGGCTCTGTATGTGTTATTATATTACCATCACCATGTAAGGTTAAGAATGCTAACTGCGGCGCCGTCAATGTCGTCATCGTTTTATCATTTACATCTGACGTCGGATATTAAAACAAAAACAACTTAAAGAAATACTTACTTTCTTTAGTGTAACCGAATTCTCTACCGCACTGCCCTTTGTTGTTGATTCCAAAAGTGTACACTTGTCCAAAGCCTGTTAGTGCTACTGCGTGAGCTTTCCCCAGTGAAACCTGCAAATAATTTTGATTTAATACATCATTAACCAGTTGAACTTTCTTACTTGGCCTAAGAGTCTAAATATCGACTGTGAACTGGCAATCGGTACTATCTCAATTTTGACAAGTTTACACAACCAAGATAAAAATTGTTTGCGTCATTCATATAGCATCTGGTTTATTAAATAAAAATTCGTATCGAGTTCTTAGGTTTTCGCGATTGTTACACATAGGAAATGAAACTATTTTTCCGGATTCAATTCGCGTATATTTGCTTTTTCAAACAAACCGACGTTTAGGGCCCGTTACAGGTCCCATGGTCACGGTTGTCAACCTGTAAAGGGCCCGAAACGTCGGTTTGTTTGAAAAAACAAATAATTGCGATTTAAATCCGGTGAAATAGTGTCATTACCTAAAAACTCGTAGTTTTTAAATATTTTTAAGACACATACATAAAACCTTCAATAGCTTATTTGTGCGTTGCGGTAATTGTATCCACGTGAAAATTGAGCGCGACAAACGAGAGAAACAGAAGTAACAAAAAGAAACAGGTATTATATATTATTTATTGGAAAAAGGTGAGGAGAACATTTTTAATACAGTTCTGTACATGAGAGTAATTTGAAATACGTAAATAATAACTAATGTAAGTAAAATTGTCTAGTGGGTTTTCTATCTTATGTTTCAGCGAAAATGTCGAGAGGGTAATTATAATTTTGTACGAACTACTTCTTAGAAAATTTTAATATAAACCGACATTGTTCACAAAGAGTTAGTGCGTAGCTTTTGCAAATTTTAAAAAAGTTTGTAAGTTTTTTGTCGTTTTTTATTATTTATTTATTGAGCATTCTTGGCTACAGAGCCATCAGCTTAAAACAGGTAACAAATAATTAATAAACTGAAAAAGTAACAATAATTAAACAAAAAATCCCGCCATTTCTTGTTTATGCAATTATATGCGATGCAATTAAAAGGATTACAATTTTTGCGGCGATGATTAAACGACAAAGATAGATACGCAATTTCATATCGTTATCCTTGTTCTTCAAAATGTGTAACAATAGTTCATTATCAAATAAACAAACGCACGAATGACACTAGTGCGGTATCTTACCGTAAATAATAATGGCTACGTGGCTTTATCGACTGCGATAAATATATCACGGGCAGGTTTGTCACATATCAGTACATCAAATAACGCGAACATCAAAATTTACCACTACTGTATGTAGTTTGCTAAAGGTGGCAAGATTCATTCTAGTAAATCTTTCTCTACTACTCTCAATACTACAAATTTCTGTGTAGTCCAATAAAAATACACCCACCTGTATAATGCGTTCATGACGCAGTCCGGTCACGACTCCGGAGGGGTCGCAATGCAAAGTGTCTTTTCCGAACATTAATAATAAACCTTGTCTCGTAACTAGCGCTGTTGACCCGTAGTTGCACGCTGCACTAACAACGAAGTGTCCGTCCGCCTGTTTATGAAATATATTCGTATTTATTATTGACCACATGTGCCTACGATTTTATACGCGCAAATATGTATTATACTAATATAAAAAATTAAACTATGTTCACTGGTTATGAAATTCATTTTATATCATGTCTAATAAGTAAACTTAATACTTGTACAAAAAAAAAATATTCGTTTTTTATGCTAACATATAAAGAACTGCTACAACTCTGCTAATTATTACAATCTCTGTAGGAAGTGTCACCTCTTACCACATGAAATGCGTCGTGATATTAGTGACCCAATGTTTTGAATAAAATTAGCATTAAGCTCAATTGACTGTCTAGAATTATTATCACAAATATCACTGAGAGTTCCCTCTAAATCTTTGAAAAATAATTCACTTTTGGGTCTACTCTCGGCCCGTACTAATTACATGCAAAACGAGTTTATGTGTTGCATTGCAAACGTGCCAATTACGCGTAATAGTAACGCATCATTTTAACATTCTATGTAATTCTTTTGATCTGGATATTTTCAATACGAGTGTGATTTCGGCAAAGAGAGCACTGGGTGTGCATTTCTTTGACTCATAGTGAGGCTTGCAACTGCGGTTGTCTTTTTATGTTTACGTAATAAGTTACGTTTTAAATAATAGGTTAGTTCAATTGTACATGCTGGTTCCTTATTATATTTCAGTTTGCGAAGATCTGTAATTGGGTCTCAGTTGCTACTATTATTATTTAAGTTAGTTTTAAGGTGTCAGCCTTCATTTTTGACAAATAAATAAATAATACAATTTTCAATTTATTTTTATAATTGAAAGTGTTATTGTGGCTTAAATATAAAAATTAGGTTTATAGATAATTACTGGCGCTAATATAGCACACTTTCCACTTTCCACGTCTGTCCAATGATTTGGTCAGCGCACGTAATTGCAACGAGCGCACGCGACTGACTCACTTTAAAAAGGACATATCTTTTTTATTTGTTAACTATGGTCATATACGAGTTCGGACACGTTCCCATTAAGTCGTAACGTTTTATTTATCGTTGGACGACTGTCGCGTCTAGCCTGTTTTCATATTACGACTATCTATCGTGACTGTGTTGTGGACGTTTATTTTATCGTTGAACGACTGTCGTGTCTAGCTGTTCCCACTAGACCGTGACGACAATTTGTCGTTTCTCGGCAGCCGCCCTGTCGTTTGCACGACAGAATCGTTAGAAACTACGACTACCTGTCGTCACATTTTTATCGTGACGTTTTATGTATCGTCAAACGACTATCGTTCTTGCTCTTCCAACTATCACGACAGTCTGTCATCGTAGCGTTAAAAAGTCGTGAACTACAGTTAATCGTGTTTTACTATATGTGAACAACTTCATTTAAATGCACAAGACACGACACTAAACTGCACGACTATCTGTCGTCACGACATAATGGGAATACGCCGTAAGGCCAATGTAACAAAAAAAAATTAGTTGATATAATTTCCAAGAGAAGAAGTCTAACGAACACACTCCCGACAATTCAGGTGCCAAAGAACACCTGAGGTCCTAGTACCTTAGGTACATACTTACTCAACTTTAACGTTTACTCAAGTGTTTTTTCTTATTTCCACCTGTACTACTATGAAGTAATTAGAAGAATTAGACTTAATGCCCCTTGTACAGAAGCCGAGCAGTTTTAGAGGTATATGTCGGAGACTCGTCATCAGACTCGCCTAAGTCGAAAATGAGATCATGAAGAAGAAGAAGAAGAAGAAGAGAATCAAAAGTACTCAAACTTCGATAAAGTACAATTATATAATCTATACGTGACGAAATTGTACGACATTTAAGACAGTTGTAGTAGAAGAACGTCTCTACACTAAGTGTTTCTTTTTGCAAATGGTGCCTTTATAAAGGTTAGTTATAAGAAAGCCCCGTAATGAGATAAGCTCGCCTTTGTACACGAAAGTTTTAAATTCTATGCTACAATTTGTAACTTATTTTGTTATACAATAAAGTGTTTAGCGTCGGTTTTGTAAAAATACTATAGATCAGGTTAAGATTTTTTTATACTATGGGGCATTAGACTACTTCGTGCCAACTTCAAAGTAAAAGGTAAGGGAACCAGACGGGAAGAAAACCTTCAGAATAATTAACCCTGTCAATTATACTGAACCCAGCTTTCCGCTTGACTGGTAGAGAATGCCTAATGGCATTAAGTCCGCCATTTGTACTGTTTCGTGTGCTATAAAGTTTAAATAAATATAACCAAAAAGCAAATGAAAAAATGTCAGGACAGTATCTAATATTGGAGTTAAAGAATTAATACATATAAGGTAATATAATAATTAAAAATGAATACATATATTACACGAAATACACACAAGGATTAAATTTTTATATCATTAATATAATAGTTACTTTATAATGAAAACCTAAGGCGATAACCCGAGAATGAGGTGAACTTTCAAAAGTGACAAGACATACATAATGTCAAACCTTAGCGGATGGAATAGTCTAAGCGTCAGACTCCCTACGAATCGACAATGTCACAAACTTGAAGCTTGAAGTACACCGGGTTTCAGACATACGATGAGCTCTTTACTACTTTCTAGTCAAAGAAATGGTAAATTACCTTTAAAATTTTTTTAGGCCTAGTAGGTTTGGGTGTGCGCCTGTGTTTGCTAGCGTCGCCATCTTCCCCTCGGCGAGCAATGCCGGTGAACAACGCTGTTCCATTATCAAGCACAAACACTGCATGAACGCCTTCGTGACCCACTGCTACCTACAGCACACAGAACGTTCGTAAGGAACTATCGCGAGCCCTGAAGAGCCTATTATGAATTAATAATGCAACGGAAGTGTCATAGCGGAAACAAATATCAAAAGTAAATTTTAGCGAAAACAAATGGATTTACATAGTTTTTGCGTTATTTGTTTGAAAGCTTACCTGTATGACCTTGCATTTTTTGCCACTGGGGGCATCATTTCGATTGAACAAGGTTTCCTTCATCAATGTCCATCGACCTGGGTGTGGAGTCGCAGCTTTATAACCCAGACTTGTACCTTTTCCTGTGTAGTAAACCTGAAACACTTGTTATATTAGCAAACTAGCGCAAAGTAGGGATGCACATTACAATTCGATTTTTAAGAAGATCGATTCAATTATATACGATCTTGAAATTTTTTAATCGATTCACTCGAGCAAAAAATCGTGCATCCCTAACGCTTCAAATTAACAGCCAACGTTTTACTACACACACATTCAATTCAAAACAAAACAAACACTAAATGTTGTTCATATTAAGTAAATTAAAATTATGTTATAAATTTAATTTGAAATGCAATTAATACCTTTCCTGAAGTAGTTGTCAAAAGTCCGAAATCCTGTCCAGCACAAATGCCAGCAAGGGGGTCATCGTCATTATCATCTAGTTGCATCGCAATAGGGGCATCTAAGTCGGTGTTCCGTCGGGACAGGCCGTCTTCAAAAGGCGCTTTGCCAAATGTCAAAGTGCGGTTCCTCAAAAGATGTACTTTAAGCTCTTTGTTGCACGGCAGCGACATAGAGCCTTCAGGACGATCACATAAGTTTTCAACGTCATACATTCGAATCATTAAGTTATCCTGTTTGACAATGTTTGTATTTTAATTAGTCCTGTTGCAGCTGCATAAAAGACGGTATAAATAGCACAGAGAAATGCACTGATATACCCATAAACAAACTTCATAATTAAATCTGTAAGTGAAGGTAAAGTACCTCAAGTTCAAATTTTGGAATTTAGATATTTTACAAACACGGTTTTAGAATGCTAAAAATGCACGCTACGGTAAAAGATATTAAGTCGTTTGTTTATCATATTTTATTTGACCTTAAAATTGATTTTAAATGCTTAATTAAGAGTCTCAATCTCTTTAAAACGCTAAGTAGTAAAAATTACTATTTGGCATTTAAGGTTCTTTAGTTTTCACTTACAGAAATATTACCTAACATCATCGAGCATATAACTAAAAATAGAGACGAAATAAGGGCCATCCATCCCTGGCAACTCATCAGGCAAATGGGCCTTATATCACTTTTAAATATCAACTCTCGTTTGCGTCGAAATCAAAATTATAAAGCCGAAATAGTACAGCGTCAACAAATGACATGCGTGTACATATCCATATATTCCAAAAATATTCTATATTTATTGTAATAAATATAATGTTTCTAACAATGGAATTCAATTCGGTGGTGTGGGAAAAACAGCAAAACATCTAATTACAAAACAAACAGATTCACATTTCATAAGTAATTAAATATTAAATATGTAATTTTTCAAATATAGGAAAGCTCAAGTTAAACTGGTCGATTGGAAGTGAAACAATTGATGACACCTGTCAATTGTTTTGAATTCGGGCTGGCCAATCGGAGCGCTGTTGTCACCGTAATGATTTGGCAGAATAGTTTTCAAACAAATTAAATGATATTCGTCTCTATTTCTGGTTGTATACTCCATGCCTAACATTTACACAATTTAAACCTATTTTAAAAAAGGGCAGTTCGTTTATAATACATTTAAGTCGTACGTCATATTTCCTCTATGATTTAATATAATACTTACAAAACTTGCTAGCATAATCAGCCCCAATTGTTGGCCGTCGGAAAAGACAGCCGATTTCGGGTCTACCGGCGGCGGTGATCCAGGATCGAGCTTTATCACATGTTTCACTTCGAGTGTGGTTTTGTCAATTTCAAAAACTTCAGTCTTTTTTCTTCCTATTCTGGAATACAACTTTCCCTAAAAAAGGAAAATGTAAAATAATTACAAGTCTAACAGAAACAAGATTACGTTTAGAAGATCATCACCACAAATTTTGTGGAAACTTAATCTCACCTGGCAATGTCCAAGCCAACCATGACGATCGCCAGCGAAGAAGTCAGGCTTATGCAAATAAACATGTTGCCTAATAGAACTGCCATAGCCTGACCCAATTTTCAACAGGCCTTTAGAAGAGAAAACGTATAGAAAGCAACCGTCGGACACCAGCGAACGGACGACGAGTTCTCCTGCTCCTGCAATCACTTGGGCAGGAAGGTCGACAGGGAAACTCATCACCAAAGACTGGTGCGGAACTCCGAAGTTTAACCATTGATTACGGGATGGTGGGCCGAGAATCACAGATTGAACGCTTCTTTGAAGACTTGTTAAGTTAGATGGTATCTGCAAATATTCAGTGTAGATGAAAACAAAACGTAAAATTTGTAATTACTTTCAATGATTTTGCCAAATGATTGTACCTAGTTTTCCAAAATTAATAGTCATTTGTAATGTAAGTTTGCAGAAAGTTAAATTGGCTGTCTGATATTTTACCTGAATGTATTGATCTGAAAGAGCTGAAGGTGACATTATTAAAGACGTAACAGCGTTCAATATCAATTCTGCTTCGCCCCGAGCTACCGATAATGAAATAAGACAAGAAGCGCTGAGTGCTGTCAGACTGTTTGGAACATCTGATCGTCCAAAAGCACGACTGCTAGCTACTTCAATTAACATCGCGTGAAGGTTTTGTATTATCTGAAATAAAAAAAACAAAGAACTACAGTATAACAGTAAAAGAAAAAACAGTTATTGTCACTATTAGTAGTAGCATATAATAAATGACATCACAAATATATTTGTTATAATATGGTTTTTATATTTAATATACTTCTTTAACATTGTAACAGGCCCGAAAACTAATATAAAATATATTTAGATAATATAATATATAAAATACTTGTGTTAGCCTCGGCTAAGCCAGAATTTTTCTAAAAAAACAAACCCGGAAATAACAGAAATAAATTAACATACTTCTGAAGGTTCTTGAACCAACTCTTCAGGTGAATGACCTTGGAGGACATCTAGCAAAGCTTTGAGAGCATGTTCACAAAAATGAGCATCTGTGCAACGAGCTTGAGATATCAAGGAGAATACTGTACACAGTCCAATACCAGTAATCTGAAATTAAATGGTAAGCATTTACAACTTTGTAATATGGGAGTAGGCATAAAGAAATTAATAAATATACATACTTTGGGCAGTTTAGATAAAGGTATGTAATCTTCATCATCATCAATATCACTATCGTCTGATTGTTCAGCAGACATCAAACGAAGATGCCTCCACCTAGACAGGATAGATCTCCGTACTGATGCATACACAGCAAACTGAGAAGGGTTTCCTAATAGTGCAGGTGCGTAACAAGCTGCTAAGGGATTTGATTTAAGTCTCCCTTTTTTGTCCTTCTTTCCGAGTTTTTTATGTGCCCTAGAAAATAATGGTACAGCATTAAAGACTATAAAAGATAAAAAAGTTGAAGTTGATAAAGACCCAAATTTTTATTTATAATGCTCACAGTCCTCCAATAAAAACCACATCACAAATGTTATAATAAATTATAAGTATGTAACCCATAATGGAAATAATGACTTGGTCTAAAAAATAAGTGAATACTAAATGTAGTAATAAGTGTGTGAGTGTGCAACACATCAATCTTTAAAAAGAAAAAGCACATTGCACTTTTAGAAATAGACATATTATTCCAAAAAGAAGCAACAAAGCACACATACATGTAACAATCACGAAACACGATTATAACATAAAAAAAAGGAAAAAAAAAGATTTTGTGGCTTACAAAATTAAATTAACTTTACCTAGTGCCACTCCAGCACAAGGCACGAAAAAATCTCTTGTAATTCTCCACCTCCATACATCTTAGCTCAGGCACCTGCATACTTAATGCCATAATAGGTGGTTTCAGCTTATTTCTGAAAATTAGTTCAATATTTGCAACAATAACAGAATATTCAGAACAGCTATTGTAAACTGTTAATTAAAGGCTCCGAATACAATGATTTCCTAACAAAAGAAACTATAGACTGGGCTTTGCAAAACAGTGATGAAATTTCCACTTGTGAATCCTCCATCTGATGGCACTCCTACTTTTCGTAACATTAGATAATACCCACTCACTTCCTAAGGTATACGGTAATCTAAGCATTAGGATCACCCAACCTGCATTTCTACAACATTCTCGTAAATAGCTCACTAAGATAATGACTACAATTTTTACACCATTATTGTAAATAGAAATTCGCAAAAGCATACTTCTCTGTGAACATTATTGTGCGACATTTTTATAAAATACGTGTATTAAAGATTATTTTATAGCATCTTGTTTAAACCGAGTCCTTTTAATTTGTGTTCATAAGAAAGAAAAACTCATTCACTTGGCATTTTCGTAGCTTTAGCATGGTCACATAATATTGTAAAAGCCAAATTAAATAAATAACTTAAGAAATTCAAATAAACAAAGTAAGGAGTTAAAACTTATGACCCATTTGTATTATTTCACTTATATAGAGATCTTAGTCCTGAAAACAATCTTAATACTCCAGAATTACTATTTAATAAAAAAAAAGGCTTGGAGAAAAAAGTGCCCAATTAGCAAATGCTATCCAGCACAGCATAGTAATAGAAAGACACAGTCGTAACAATCAATTTTTGCTTTAGGTCGATCTCACAACGTTAAATAAAGTATTTGTAGTGTTACAGTTTTAGGTACAGATCAAAGTTAATTTATCAATTTAAATGTCCTAATGCTGTTAAGGTACACATAAGCGCAGAATAGTTAGGGTTTTGAGAAGAGACACTTAATTATAATTAACCTTACTCCACGGCTGTAAGGTTTGAATTAGCATTGTGAAAGTGATTCTTTTTGTACAGTCCCTTAACCCTGTCTGTTGAAATGTATTGAAACACAAATCAAGTTACAGTTAGGATTTTGCTATAGAAGAAAATTAGTAAACATAGGTATAGTCAAAGCAAATATTATCACAAAACATACAGAGTTCAGCATGTTCGTAACTCATCACGCCTCCTAAAGACAAACACACGGTGTCCCAAATGATTTAAATTAGAATTAAATAAACAAAGATTTTGGTAAAACAATGGCGAAAGTGGAATATTTATTTTATGGAATATCATGTTTTTCCTAAAATGATATATTTCCAGTCTTATTAAAGGAATTATTGTTTCATCTTTGCATCAATATTTTTATGAATATAAAGCTTTTTAAAAATGATGAATGAAAATACAGCTGCATGTTGCACCATGTGACTTTAGGACTTGTGACAGGAAAAAGTTTCAAAAATACCAGATTGTTCCTAGACATTGTCGCAAATTGGCATCACTGGCAAAGGTACAGCCACATAATATTAATTTCTTTTAAGAATTTGTTGTCCGACTGTCTGACATTATGTATCTGAAACCTTCCATTGTTGGGAAATTTTCTTCAATACAAGATACATCATAAGGTTGTACGAAATAATGTTTAGTCAAGCATATTTTAAATAAGCTTTGGTATAAATTGGAAATCAAAAAAGTGTAATTCAATAGTTCAATGGCCTCAAAAGTCACAAGTAAATAGCAGCACAACACGCACAGCATTATTATAGAAAATGTAGAAGTCAATATAAATTAGCTCCTTAAAAGCTTAACAAATCGCCAGGAAAATAACAAATTTAAATAGTTATTACCTTAGTGATTTTTGAACTCAGAAGTACTAGTAAGTCTACAGTGCACATGTCTATGAAAATACGCCGAAAATAAAGAACAAAAAAACTTCAACATATGCTTGAAAATACCTGTAATGCGTCCCATAACATATTTGTCTGTTTTCACATAATAAAACTTATCGATTAAAGAATAAATTCAATTTCGGCAATCAGACAAATTCTAAACTTTGCACTAACGTCAAAAAATCAATAAACATACGACCCTAGTGTTTACCAATAATATGAAACTAACAAAATCGTTACTTTACGTTATTGTTACACGTACCGTTTTTCCAGTAGTTGTCATTGTGCGGCGAGAGTGCGCTATAAAATAATGTATAGCAATGACGTAGTGTATGACGTCAATGATGTATAGGAACTAAAAACAGTTTTTTTTTTCCTTGTTTCCGATTTGATCGTTTTTTTCTTTCTATGATAATAATCCTATCCTCTAGTAACTACTATTTTCACGTATTCTTCTAACTACCCATGTATCATATTTCATGCATCCTTTTCTCTGATATTATTATATGTATATATATATATATTATTTCAGCAGTTTGTTCGATGTATTTGTTTGGAGTTGCACAATAAGCCTGCTTATATGTAGTACTCGGGCTGTAGAGATAAGCGAGCTATACAATCCATGCCATTATAATAATGTCTGATCATAATCAGTAAATCAATATTTTACAATACTATGATAAATATGATTACCATCACATGAATACCGCTAGTAAATTATAAGCCAGTTAATATGTAAAATGCGTTAATAGGCTGTAAAATTAATTATTATTGTATCTATGTTTAATAAGATAGGACATTTGTAATAACCAATCGTTCGTTAATAAAGGAGTACCTTTAGGTGCCTTTGCACTAAGGCGTATTATATAACTTTGCTAGAATTTAGCCATATTCAACAGGGAGCAATTTATTGTTTGCTTCAACGCAAGTAACTTGTTGCAATCGATCGATTGTCGGCACACTTAAATCGAGAATAGGTTGTTGCTGGGCATTCCTACTGTCACACTTCGTCACACGTCACTCATTTCATTTTTGGGTAGGAGGATGTTCACAAGTGGTCTTACTGAATTTGTTAGAGAAGTCCTTAAAGTGGAGTAGTGAGTGACTATCACCCATAAGTATTATATATTTGGAAAGTACAAACACCATCATGTTCAGTTGGCTAAAAAAGGAAGGCGAGAAAACTGAAAGTATCGAGAATGTTGTGGAAGGTCTTAAGAGGATTTACAAAACTAAACTTTTGCCACTCGAATTGCACTATCAGTTTCATGATTTTCATTCACCACAACTAGAAGACCCAGACTTCGATGCTAAGCCAATGATATTACTGGTTGGTCAGTACTCTACTGGAAAAACGACCTTTATAAAATATCTATTGGAGCGTGATTTCCCGGGGATTAGAATCGGGCCAGAGCCGACAACAGATCGTTTCATTGCTGTAATGTTCGACGAAAAAGAGAGTGTAATCCCTGGTAACGCACTAGTTGTCGATCCCAAAAAACAATTCCGTCCACTCAGCAAGTTTGGTAACGCCTTTCTGAATAGATTTCAATGTTCTACCGTCAACTCGCCTGTGCTTCGTGGAATATCTATTGTAGACACACCTGGTATACTCTCAGGTGAGAAGCAGCGCGTGGATCGCGGTTATGATTTTACTGGAGTCTTGGAATGGTTTGCGGAGCGTGTTGATCGCATCATACTCTTGTTTGATGCTCACAAATTAGACATATCAGATGAGTTCAGACGCAGTATAGAAGCTTTGAGAGGGCATGATGACAAGATTCGTATAGTTCTAAACAAAGCTGATATGATTGACCATCAACAGCTGATGCGCGTCTATGGAGCGCTCATGTGGTCTCTGGGAAAAGTGTTACAAACTCCTGAAGTTGCCAGAGTCTACATTGGATCTTTCTGGGATCAACCATTACGGTATGATGTAAATAGACGCCTCTTTGAAGATGAAGAACAGGATCTCTTCAGGGACATGCAGTCACTCCCAAGAAATGCTGCTCTGCGTAAATTAAATGATTTAATTAAGAGAGCACGTCTTGCAAAGGTACATGCATACATTGTCAGCGAGTTGAGGAAAGAAATGCCTTCCATGTTTGGAAAAGATGGAAAGAAAAAAGAATTGATTAAGAATCTGGGCCAAGTATATGACCGAATTCAAAGAGAACAACAAATTTCTCCAGGTGATTTCCCTGATATTAAAAAGATGCAGGAAAACTTGGCAAACCATGACTTCACTAAGTTCCATCCTTTGAAGCCTAAACTTCTGGAAATTGTAGATCAGATGCTAGCTACAGATATTGCTAGGCTTATGGACATGATCCCACAGGAAGAAGTCAATATTGTCTCCGAACCACTGATTAGAGGTAAGTTTTATTTGCATGTAACTATATTTTACATTGGAAGCCGTGGTAACCTAATGGTTTGAGCTAGTGCCTCACAAGCAGAGGCTGTGGTTTTGTATCTGTACTCCCTCAGAGGAGACCTGTTCACAAGGGTTGATGATGTGATTTGTATTGAAGCTGTCATGTTGAAAAGGAAAATGCAAACATTATTTTAATTATAACATGTTGAATGTTTAGGAAACAATTCTATAATATTTCAACCATATAAAATATTTTAAGTCAATATTGTAATAGAAAATTGGCCTCCTATTTAACAGGAAGTATGTGTAAGCTCCATGAGCCATCAACATCCGAAGAAAATAAATTTGTGTTGATGGAGTGATAGAAGATGGTGATGTAATGAAAACTCTGTCTTTGTTATTTGTGAATGTTCCCTGTAAAACCACAATTTATAAGTGAATAATATTGTAAATATTATATATTATTCTTGGGTTCAAATAAATTAATCAAATTGTTTTTGTTTATTTCTATAGCTATATATAACTGTTTCTTTTTCTATGATGATTAACTGTTTTTATATCCATAAACCAACTTATTTATTGATTACTTAGCTGCAGTAGTTTTAAATGATATTTATTATTAATTCTGCTCTTGCGAACATATTTTAGAATCTAAACTGTCTTAAACTGAAAATTTGGCGGCAATGGCGAATTTCGTTACATCACTATCCTGACATGTATGAGTGTGATGGTATGTCGTATTGTTCTATTTGTGATAGGAGTGCCACTTATCATGTTGTTCACAAGGTTATATGTGTTATATCCTTTGCTAACTTGAGATATCCCAGTGGCGTAACAGCTAAAACTTTGTTATCATCAGATATTGACCTGAATAAGCACTCTTATCTTATTGTTGTACCACGATATCAAGCTGGGTGGAATTTGCTATCTGCTTCTATTAGCTATGGTTAAACAACATACTTCCAAATTAGGATAGGAAAATTGTCTTAAACTTTGTGATGAAAATCCTAGGTCAATTAACTATAGTGATCTTTATGTTAGTCAACAGGGGGCAGTGGTTAGCCAACACCTAACAATTTAGATCCGGCGACAGTGTCGACACAACCATGTCGCTATTGCTGTTCTAGTACATTCTAATTGCTGGTAAAAAGAACCTAAAACACAACAGACTTTTAAAGCATTAGTTTCTTCGGTAATTTCATTATCGTCATCTAATAGTATACCTGACATTTTAGTCAGTATGTATTTATTTAAAAACTGGGGTACAGTGTATAGCAAAGTGATGCTATGGTTTAATGCCATATGGCAAAATGTGTATGGTAACTAATGAAAAAGAGTTTTCGCATAGCTTGTCATTGTGATACAAATATCTACAAATATGTGTATTTATGTACATATCATGTTGATGCAGTTGGCTACATAAGCTGCACTAAGAAGGAATTATTTTGTTATTATAAGCACCTGTATCTACTTTTTGTTGTCTAATAACTTGTGTGATTAGTTTTAATGTATTTATCTAACAGATTCTTATATGTGTGTACAATTTAATATTTTGTTGTTTCTCTACCTTGTCCATTATTATGGATTATAATTATTGTTCTCGGTCTATCTGTTGTTACACGCACTATTGACAATTTACTTTAAGTAATTTACCTTATTACGAAAACTCTAGCAAAACTGAATTGTATGAGCTCTCCATTCACTACATACCTACCTTCCTCAGTATGTATTCACTTTAACGAATATAACTATGAATACTCTTAGGATAATTATTGACTTTAACATTCATAGTTTAGGTATGTTGCTATACCAGTGACGTCCTTGCAGAAAACATCGATGCAATGTACTATTATTTATGTCTCATACATAACCCATGTAAACCCTGTAGGTATGTTTAAATGTCATTCCTAATTAATAATTCCAAAGCGAGACTAATAAATCAAACAATTTAATCATGCTAAAAACTGTGTAGATACTTCTTCGTATAGATATCGACTAGGTAAATTAAAATAGTATGTGATAAACGCTGGCGTCATAGTGAATCACTGACATGAACTCGACTTCTACTCGGGCGTAGTTCGAGCGCACCTGTACTGTTCATCGCGACCTTCGTCATTGTGTCTGGTCTGATCATGAACTGTAGATACAAAAGATTTACTGGCGCTTAAATAAAATAATAATTATTTGACTAAACCAATGTCAGGTATCAATCAATCATA